TTACAAAATTTTAATGATTTAAACATTAAAACATTTAAATTTACATTTAAGTTAAAAAAATTTTGTTTTTTGAGTTGTGTCATTGTTTGTAAAAAATGAATGATACATGAATATATAAGCATATGTAATTAAAGTACGCTCGATTTGATATCTGAATTGTCGAGCCGGCTCGGAGCATGGAATTGAAAATTTAGCGCGAATAAAAAAAAAGAAAAAAAATTATGTATTTGTTGCTTCTATTATCCGGAAATGACCGAAGTTCCGAGCGTACATACATATGTATTTTTTGTGTGTATGTCTATCCCTACTCTCTTATCTTACGGTAAGCGCGGTAAGCGCGTCCTTGCTTTGGCATGATAGCATCACTCCCTATACAGTGTACACATTTCATGTCGTATTCAGTCGTGTTTGATGCAGAATGAAATCCCCTACGAGGAAGTACGTCCGTAAAACTCGCGGGAATAGTTTGTTATCGAAGGCCTTGATCTAATCGCCCGTAAGTTTGTAAACATTAGGCCGATAAATCGCGTTGAATACTCTGATGCATCAGATATGAGTTCCTACAGTGCTCAATCTTTCGCAACGTGACGTGTATTATGAAGCTGCGACAAGAAACTAACCTAAAGTGGACGTTCTTGACGTAACACAGTCAGTATTATTGTCTCCGATTGGCCACAAAATCTTATTAAACGATGAGCGATGCGTATCAAAGGCCTGCTATTGTTGCTTATCTGCATAGCAGGGAGCAGCATCGTGTTTATCGCTTTCAGCAATCAACGACCTTCCATTCAGACATTAGTGACGGAGACTCACAAACAGTTGCGGAGCTTCCAGGTGAGTATATTATAATTGTTATTTAATAAACTCTACTTTCTCGTTTATTTTTTCCATTAGTCTCACATGCAAGATTTTGCTTCTAGGAAAATTTAAAAGACGTTGAGGAGAAACGTCTAGTGACAGATTCTAAGTACCTTGCGTTGCTTGGTCTGGATGGACAGACAACCACCACACCGATCAGTTCCAAACCTCATAATGTAACGGTTGTGTCGCTCGTAAGGCCTGGAAACGAGCAATATATTTATGGCTTCGTTAGAAACGTTAGCCATTTTTTGCCAAATAATAGTATTGTAATTTATAGCGTCGGTTTAAACGAAGATTCCTTACAAAGTATTAGACTCGCCTGTAATTCTACGAAATGTAATGTGACTCAATTTGATCTAAATCCGTTTCCTGCTCACGTCGAAGATGACACGCTGCATGTTTATAGACCTTTAGTTATTCAAGTGAGTAATTATTTAGGATGCCTTCATAATTTTTTATAAGAATCATACTAATTGAATAATGTATTTATACCGCAGACAGCTTTAAATACGCTAGGTAGTATAATCTATATGGATTCCAATGTACGTCTGAATTCTTCAGACATCGCAAAATATCTCTGTCCAAAATCTGGAATCTTAACTTGGCCTACAAGGCACGCCATTAGTTCATTGACACATCCAAAGATGTACGAGTACTTTCATGCCTCTGCTGAGAGTTTCTTCTTTCTCCCACTGATTAGAGCCTCACACTTAATAATTAGCAATTTTAAAGACATTAGGGAAAAGGTAATGCTGCCTTGGGTCCAGTGTGCATTGACGAGGGATTGTATTTCCCCTATTGGTAGGTACTCTTTCTTTTAAATTGTACGTTCAATTCCTAATTTTTATGCTGTAGTATTTCCATAATTTCCATTTTTATATCTCAATAAGCAATTCTATATATATTAAGTTTTTAATTTTTTTTAATTGACTATTTGTAGGTGCGCAATCGGCGGGCTGTAGATTCAACAAAAAGCCACAATACCGATATTCTGGTTGTCACGCATACGACACCTCCGCGTTAAATATAGTTTTGGGATTGCATTTTAACTTTGATGATACGTACTATGTATACAAGGAGCGGGAGACGTACTTTAACAAAATTCAGCCCGAGGAGATCACCGAGGAGTACCTTATGATTACACGGCAAAACAACGCCACCGAGACCAATGTTAAGAATTTCATTCAGGAGCGCTAAATCTTTTTTGATCTCAATTTACCTTAGGTAATACGTCGGATAAGCACAACTTAATTTAAGATTGTTAAGCATTGAATTAAATTATAATAAATAGCGGAATGACAAACTTCAAGTTTTAAAGACATTAAATGCCTTTAAATCCATTCTCTCTCTCTCTCTCTCATTCCATTTTTTATTTTTTTTACAATTACATTTACAATTTCGGTACAATTGAGCGAAATAATGGTACTACATGTGTTTTGCAGTCTTACATTTATTTATAAAGCACTAATTGTCTCGACATTTGACATACAATTTATGAATCCATATGCTTTCGATGACATATACTTACACTTTTACTTCTCTTAACAAAGACTGACGAAGATTAATTCAGATCATCCTTAATGACGAATTTTTGCACGAAATATTTTTACCTAGCATATATACAAATAAAACATAACAGAATACATATATTTTTAAATATAGATCTATTAAGATTCGAAATACACTTATTCTACATTCAATTTTGTAAACGATCGATACTATGGAGATTATTTGTCGCTTTATACCGGTTTCTCTTCTTATCGGCTTTGATTCATCGATATATATTTCAATGAAGCGCATGAATATATTAAAATGTGATCGTGTTATTATGAGGCTGGTGTTTATAATATTGTATAATTACGCGGTCATGGATTTTTCCTCTTCTTGAAGTCGCTCAATATCAGACTTATTCATGAAGTAATATGAGGGCTGTCGGGATTTCTGAAAGCCAAGAAAATTAGCTCTCTGCTTTGTCAATTATTCGGTAGAAATATATACGTGGCTTACCAGATCTTTGACGATGCGTTTCGCGCCCGCCTTGATCAATAGGTTACTCAAGACTTCGACAGACGGCACGCCCATTGCGTAATGAAGAGCAGTTCTTTCCAACTAGAACAAGAAAGATCAATATTTTTATATTTTAAGCTTGCATAATATTTTTTGATCGCAGTCATTAAGTATCTCAATTATCGCTAATTATTCATAATTATGTCCATGTGGCATGTTCACATTGGTTTAATAATAATATTAATTGCTCGATTATTTATTCTAAACGACTTTTAAATCGCGGGATATAAAACCGGTTTTATTATTTTTTATTCTTTTTTTTTTATTTACACGCTTTATGAACGTTATTCTTCAATGATTCGTACATTGTCGCCGATACGTAATGTTTCTGGGTACGTCTTTGCGATAAACTTGACGAGTTCTTCATTTTCCAGAAGTACAGCGATTTGCAGGGCGCATCGGCCGATCGAGTTTTTTCCAACTGCCAGCAATTTCCCACCCCCATTATTTTTATTCAAAAGTTCCTTCGCACGTTCCTCGTCGCTGGCCCGAATGGCAGCGTGTACCTCTTCGCGTTGATTCTAGAATGTACATGAGAAAATCACATTAAAAGCCATAACTTACAAAATAACAATATGATATTTCTCGTTGCTGATTGTACACCAACTTACCACGTAATTAGGAATTGATTGTAGAAACTGCACGGTAGCTTCGTGGTCTCTTTGCGCGGCCACATCGATGATGTCCACTCCGTCGTCCTCGGCGTCCAGAATATGATCGTAGCCCTCAAGCAGAAGCTCGACTAATTTTTCAGTCTCTCCTGCATATCGGATCGAGGTCATATATGTATATAATTCTCGTAACTTTTACATGTGGTTGCATAGGTTGCAATTTTTCTCTGCTTACCTCTTGCCGCAAGATAAACGACGAAGCGATCGATCTCCTCGACGTTCTCTCGAATATTCGCCTGTTCGGCAACGTCTCTGGCTGTCCGATACAATTCATCCCTGAAACCGACATTGACTTGCGTCTCCAGCAGCAGGTGATACAGGCCGTCCTTTGAATAGGAACGAACTGCCGCGAAGTGGATCATACTTTGCCCATGTTCGTCCTGAGAAACATCGCTTTCATTCTTATTCGCTATCTTTTTACGAAGTCACTTTTATTTATATCGCAAGAAATTTTACGGTGCAAATCGTAGCGTGGATTTCAAAAAATTTAGTTCTAAGTTGAAGTACATTTTTATTCACGTACCCTATTAGGATTGCTGAATGTGGATTCAGGTATGTCCGAGTCTGGACTTCGAGGATAGCCGGCGTCATCGTCGAACGTGTTCTCAATATTATCCAAATTTTCCTCTTCGCGATCGGGTATAATGAGAACATCGGATTCCTGAAAACCGACGTATAAGAAAAACGACGTGAATTAGTCCAATATTAATGTGAGAACAATGATTTGCAATGTTCAATTCTTCTAACGTTCGGTTTGAGCACATACCTGATCTTTGGATTTGTTCTTGCTAGCAAAGTTGTATAAATACGTCGCGAGATATGTGATCGGATCTCTGGGACGCGCGTTAGCTACTTCCGTTAATCCTTTAATCAAGGGATCGCCCAGCGCTGAGAAGAACATATGAGCTTGTTATATTGATTTCTAAAGATATGCTATACAACCCGTGCAATGTGTCGTTACTTACATGCTGCTAAGTAATGTCCTTCTTCCGTGCGAAATATCGGAATGTCGACTTCGTTGTCATCTGTAAATTGAATCTATTAGATTGTCAGATAATAATTTAAAAATGTCATTATGCATATGTTATTTTAATTAAAAAATTATGTCAAACCAGCAATTAGATTATAAAATAAAATTTTATTGTTAAATTGGCATGCACATTCTTATTTTTAATTTTTATGCAATCTACTCGTTACTGAAAATGATTATTGCATTCCTGCATTCCATGCATCATGTGCAAATTTTAATAAAGTTTCTAAATAATCCTTTTTTTATTTTTAGTATCTCCTTTGATTTAGGAATTTATTATATTGATGCAATAATAGTTTTCAGTTCTACCAAAGATATATTATAAAACTCTGTGTTATTACAACTCGGTAAAACGTGACAACAACACGTAATTATATATTACTTTTTACAATACAATACATATGCAAGCTCAAATCTAATATGCAAAAGCGTAAACAAACACAATTGCGTTACAAACACGGTTGACTTGTCTGAAAAGAGTGTGCATTGGTGGTTACTGTATAATATAATAAATAATTATAATCGCGCGCATGTTTCAATCAACAGACGTATAAATGCCAATTTTCTTTTTATCGTCTCGTCAATAAAAGTATAATTTTCCACTATTAAGTAGAATATCAATTTCTATTTATTGCTTTATAAATACTTTATTGTATAACACTATACAAAACAGGATAATAGTTATAAAAACGTATAGAGTATACATTTGTAGAGTATACATATTTATAAAAAAATACAACCTTGACACTTAGACGCCTATTGGCTCATTTTTTAATTTACATTGCGATGTTTAGAATAAGAATAAAAGAGGGGTATACATGGGTCCATTTCAGGGACGAATTAACACTGACAATGAGTTGGAAAGACGTGTGCTTCGCCATTTTTATTTTGTGTAAACATCGACTCGTGCATTACATATAAAGAAAGCTATTGAAAAGACTTTTTAACATTTTTTAAGCTTGTGCCACCAATATCGCTTCAAGAATTTTAATATATTCGACTTTACATGAAAATAGTATCATGCTTACAATTATAAATCCGAGAAACCTATAGATACACAAGTAATGAAAAATATACCTTATTATTCTTATAATTGCAAAATAGTTATGAATTTTTGATTTGTAACATTTATAATAAACATTACATTTATTCATTTTATATCGAGGAAAATTCATGTAAAATCGTTGCTCTTACGAGTAATGTTATATTATACAAAAGTAATTTGTACAATTTACCGAATTATCTCGAGAGAACAAAGATTTACAAGACACAATTGTGAGATATTGTGCGACAATGATGTCGTGTATATATCAATAATGCTGATCATTTACTAACCTAATCAGCAATCCTGCGTTCTCGTCGCCATCGTTAATCCGATTAATAGAGCGACTACGATTGTGATTTAACGTAATTTCGTAAGAGAGACGCTGAGTGCACGAGAGGAAAATAAAATAACGTTCACACATCTTTCCAACGCATTTCTCTCTCTTTCTAATCTCTCTCTCCCTCTTGCTCATTATAGCCTAAATGTTATTTAAATAGTTCAGTCTGCGAAGAGTAATTGACGATCAAACATTGGCTAATAATTATCACAGAAGATTTCCATGCGTAAGCGTAAGTGTTTCTTTATAGAAAGACTAAAGAGAAGATAAAGAACGGAGGCTCTCAAAGGCGATCGACGACTAGTGTTGTTAAATAAGAAGTTAGTTATTGCCTAGAATGTCGGACATTCTTGATACCATAATTAAGAATCAAGATCGTGATTCATTATATGTCGAACAGGAATATCTGGTGAATTAGTCGTTTCGCTTTTTACAATTAGTGTCTAAATATGTCTGAGTAGAGCGTTTGCCATGCAAATTCTCTAGACTAGTTGTCAATGATTTTGTTGTTATTTTTTTAAGGTATTTAAAATGCATTCATTTTATAGAAATTATGATTGTTTTCGATAATTCTCGTTTGATTGCTTTGTCAAGTTTATTGACAAGCTGTTGCTTTCATCTATGAAGCAGGCAGGGGATGATTGAATTATAGATCATCCTTAACAACTTAAAATCTAACGTTATTGTCTCTCATAATTATGGTTCGTCTACGCCTTGAGATCTACGCCTCGACGCGTTCGTCCGCTTGCGGAATATGCCGGTGATGAGATTGGCGATCTTCATCGAGTTGTTCAACGACAATTCCTTCTCCAGCGTGATGATGTTGAGCACCGCTCTGCAGAAGTCCTGGAGGGTCTGCAGTTCGGTAATGGCCAGCGACTGTTGATTGCCGATCCTCACCATGTCGCTCTTCACGGTTTCGCGCATATTCAGGCCGCGCACCACGCACAGGTGCCGTAAATTGTCAGGCGTTTTCGATAGTTCCGGGAATCGTATGATCAGGCAGAATCTGATGGTGTTGCCGAGGGCTTGTGGACGGGCGGTCAGGAAACCTAACTTCTGATCTCGTTTGAACTTTAGCCTCTGATCGAATATCATCATCAGCTTAGCTACCCTGACGTAAGCACGACCCATCAGACCCGGCCGGTTCTCGCTGGTGCGACAGATAATCCTCAAGTGATCCTGAATGTTTACCCATGCGGCAAGATCGCCGGCGGTGGTGACGTACACGCCGCGCCCGTAGGGCCAGTGCTTGCCATGAAGACGCCGGTCGTCGTTCGCCTCGAATTCCGTGATCGGTAACAATAGACCGGCTGCCGCCAGTTGCGCCCGTATTCGGCTGGGTTGCTCGAGAATTTCGTTGAGCGTGAAGTACGTGCCGGCCTCGTCCTCGCTACTGCCTTCCGCCATCAGGTCGGTTATCTCTGGACTCATTAGTTGATTGGTGATTTCCCTCTCGACCTCTTCCAGTTGATTGACCGTCAGAGTCAACGGCAGACTGTAATTAAGTAGGTTCCGGGTGCACTCTAAAATACCGGCTTGGACAAATTTAGTGGTCGGGTCTAGATCGTACTGCTCGAGCGCGGTGACGATCGTTTCATCTGGCGGATTCTCTTCGCCTTCTTCATTTTCGAGGTTGAAGAAATGTGGTAGCGGGTGATCGGGTAGATCGCCGCTCGCGGTTACACAGTGCAGCTCCCGAATGAAGGGATCGAAGAACTCCGTAAAGACGACGTAACTTTCGAAATCGGGCGCGACCGCGCCGTAACCGTGATCCTCGTCCGCGATGCTGCTGACGTACGAGCGGGCGCTGTCGATCTTGCTGCCGTTGGCCGTGATGGTACCGTACCTTTTCAGGGCAGGCCAGATCACGTCAAAGAGATTGTGATCCATGCGAGTCACACGGTGCTTGATCAAATCGAATACGGGCCGTTTCAGGCAACGAGCGACTAGTGTACCGGCGTTCGACGGGGTCTTCGGTATCGACGCTCGCCGGTTGCCCGCCAGCAATCGGAAACATCGTTCCAGGGTGGCCAGGATCTCAGGCTCGCTCACGTCTCGCCGAGCTGAGTAGATATCACCCCCGGGTACTGTAGATCTCGGCCAAGTGAGCAGCGGCGGTTGAAAGAACAGATTAACAACCGTCGGCGTTGAGAGATGTGGGTTGATGAGAAAAGGCGAATAAGCAAATGTTGCAGTGACGTTAGTGACAATTATTATATATCAAAAAGTGAAGATTAAGAAGTTGAGCTTCAAGTGGAATATTTCACTTGAAGAAATGTATGAGAAAATAAAATTGATTTATTTTACAATTTAAGACAATAATTTTTTGCATATGAGAAGTATATAGTTTTGTTCAAAGAATAACCAGCAATCTGTAAGATCAAGAATGTTATGACATGACACGATACGATATTTTTAATATGATTGTGAAGCGACTAAATTACTTTACAATTAAAATCCTATTTTTCTTGATCTTACAGTAATTATATAACGTTCTAATGTAAGTTATCAAATTGGGATAAAAGGCTAGCGAATTTATATTTCACAACCTTAACCTTAGCTCGATCAACGCGTTGAAGTGTTAAGTGACTTGATTACATGCTATTATGAAAATAATCGAACAAAGCGCCAAATCATTCAAAATCAGAAAATCAGTAAAAAGAAAACATTTGTGCTTTCAACAAGTATTTCTTACGCGGTATTTGAGGGACGACCTGATTGCGCTTGTCTAAAAAGATAGGTATAAATCGATCGTGTACAAAATGGAATATTATCAAATAATCGAATTAACAATGTTTTTGTGTGCGAACGGGAAAAACAGTTGATGAATATTTCACGAAATCGCGACACATAGAATTGCTCGTGCCAAGTGCGACATTGTCGAAGATCTTCGATTTCAACTTGGATTAGAAACATTTCTTCGAACACAAAACACGAATAGTGATGTCGCGAGACGAAGTGCTTGGATGGTCTATATCCGCGATTTTTTTTAATATGTATGTATTGCCGATGGTGTTTTTTAAAATGCCTTAAATCAAGAAATACCTTTATCCGTCAACATTTCGTCGGCGAGCCTCTCGCTTGCCCCGAAATCGCGAAGGAGCTTTTTGTGTGATAGATCGCTTTGACTTTGTCTGTAATAATCTGCCTTTTGTCCGAACTACATGACAAAAGATAAAGTTTTATCATCACTTCGCTTGCAGTAGAATAGTTGTTTCGTAAGAATTTTACGAATACTTATTAAATTAATTCTCTACTTCTATTAAAATTCACGCGCCCGAAATTTTTTTTAAAGCCTATTATTATTTAGTCAAAAAGCGCAAAATTGCACTCTTAACTCTATTTGATGATTGCGAAATAATAATAATAATAAAGCTCGCGATAAAATATAATAACACTCACGTTATCCTGTATTAAAGGGTTGGCACCCAGGTGTAGCAAAAGATTGTAATAATGACCGTTGTCCGCGAGCGTCGCGGCATAATGTAATGGAGTGCGTCCGTCGAGATCGATCGCGTTGGCAGTTTCTGGAAACCTTCCTGCCAGATACCTAAATCAAGTATAAAAAATTCAACCGAACCGGCGCGAGTTAACAGTGCCGGTTTATAGTCTATCATTCAAAGAAAAGTCTATCGTGACATGGCCGAGGTAAATCATGAGCTAATATCGACGACGATTGGTCTGACAGTTACACATATAGACAACATTATCGAGTAGTACCCTTATATCTTCTTTACTAGAACAACAAAATTGACTCTTAAAACTTATAGATATGAACTATGAGACAGAAATTATTAAATTATTAAATTTTGTCATCAGAACGCGGCACAAACACAAGTTATGTGTTAATATTCAATATATATTGAATATAAGATTAAATATATCCATGTATAAAAATATATACATGTATAAACATATGTTAATAATACCTGATGATAGCGGTATTTCCAAAGACAACGGCTACGTGCAACGGCGTGGCGCCATGGGGTGACGATTCGTTTCGCGCCACCGCGAATTTACGGCGATCCAGCGCGCTTTGCAGGTCACGAAGATTCCCCTCTCGCGCTGCCATGTGCACGGCATGAATTTTTCCCTATAATATTACATGTAACGATATATTTTACACATAAATATATTATATACATATATGTATCTGTATTACTCTTGCGTTCTGTTATTGCATAACAATGACGTACCATGTAAGCCGGAACGTTGTCGATGAAAGTCTGGAGTTCAGGATTTCCGCACTGTCGTCCAACCAATCGTCGGCCTTCGCCATTAAGAACGAGAGCCGCTAATTGTTCCATATTGCCGTTCTCTATTAGACTGTTCACTTCTGGATCCCGGGCCATGCTACCCTCGGTCAATTCTACCTCCGCGGGCTCCTTGTGCTCGCCAACGATGACCTGCTGTCATATTCAGGTACAAAATCATGCGCGTGGCTAAGAGACACATACGACGATCGATAGGAGATATTAATCGCATGTGGGAATCGTACATGCGAATCGATCGTGTCTCCTGCCGCGCCTACGCATATTCTACGTATGTGTGTGTATAGCACACAAGGTGTCCGTAAAAAAAAATACGTCTGCTGGCAGCTCTTACTGGTAACAGTTCGAATTTTACGAATAGACTTTTGTTTACAGAATCGTAAGAGTATCTTTTCTTCATTTTATTGAAGGAAGTGAACTGCAAATTTTTCTTCAATTTAAAAAGTGTTATTATTGAACATAATTGATGTTACATGTCATACGAGTACATAATGTTGTTACATAATGTCGTAATCCCAAGGGCGGACATAGATTGAAATATCCCGGCTTCTTCTTTGTATTATACAAGACGCAGTGCAGTGATCGTGACAATTTGATTAAGACAATACCTGCTCTTCGTCTTGCGCAGGATCGTCAACGCCAGAATCGCCGGTGCTAGGCTCGTTTCTTTCTTCGTGCTCGACGGTCGTTTCGTCGTTGGCATCGATTTCCTCGATTTTCGGGGATTCCTCGTAGATACCGTCCTCATTTACGGCGGCCTCAGGCCCGTCCTCCTCGTCTTTCGGTGTCTCCGCGACAGGCCCAGTTACCACGTCATCGTCCGACGATGCTTTTTCCTCTTGCTCTTGTTCTTCTTCATTCTCATTCGTGGCTTCTTCCTCATTATTTTCTGCGGCCTCGTTTTCATCTCCCCCGTCGTCCGCCTCATCTCCATTCTGTGCTTCCTCCTCGTCTCCATTCGGAGTCTCAGCCTCCTCGTTCTCTTGCTCATCGTCGGCTCTCTGTTCCACCAAATCTCCCATATAATCCATTATATCATTGACCTGAAATTACGAACTGGGAGCCCCCCTCGTATCGAAAGAGAAAAGAAAAGAAAAAGAAAATCTCCGTCCAACTACTCATTCCGACTACGAATACTACGCTACATTTCGACCGGGATGCCATTCTATGTCCGGCTACACGTGACTTTATGTGGTGTGCGTTAATTAATTATTAATTACAAACGTGTATCATACAATACTAAATATATCCAAGCTTAGGCAGGCAGAATATCGTGCATGTAACTTATATTAACAACAACTGTGACAAATATACCTTCTCATTCGAGCCATCCGAATCCTTCATCGTGGATTCGGCGCTACCGAAAGCGCTATCATCACTGCTAACCTTCTTCATGCCTCGCATAACAGCACCTGCCTCTAAGATTCTCCAGTCCCAATTTTTCGGATAAGTATCGGAAACCCGGGGTGCTTCCGGTATCATCGACAAATTCGACAGGTCTACGTCCGAAGGACGGTTCTTGTAAAACGCGGGCGCCTTTTGTCTCTGATTAGCAGCAAGATTTACAGGATTATATACTAGCATGTATCTTATCGATCAATGATTTTTCTCTTGTAATTACAAACTGCCGACTAGTACTCACGTTATCCAGTTTACTTTCATCGGCTCCGTGCTCCGTCAGAAGATCGTACATAACGCCGTCGTCCTTAAGTGCGGCCGCATAATGCAGCGAAGTCTTTCCTTCATTGTCCTGAGCCGCTACCGTTGCGGGACATCTTTCGAGGATTTCACGTGCGACGTCCGTGTATCCCAAACCAGCAGCCTTGTGATGAGAAAGATGGGAAAGGTTTTTTTCACTTCGATTTTTAACAGCAAATTCATTGGACTTTCGAGAGAGCTTACTTTGTGCAGAGCATTTAGGCCATTGCTGTCCTTGCCGCATAAAACAATAGGCGAAATAGGTTCGTCCAATTTCGTCTTGAGACCTTCTAAATCATTATTAATGACTGTCGCGTGGATATCCTTTATTGTGCCCTGCCAAAATTATAATAATTTTATTTAATAATTTTTTAGTTATCGTAATACTAATATTTATTTAACAATTGAAAAATATATGCAATCATCTACTGACATACCATAATAAAGGGCACGGCCTCTAGGAATTTTCTTATCCGCGGATTGTTGCTGGTCTCGCATCGAAGTTTTGATCCATGTCCCTCCCATAATACCTGTTGTAATTTTCCGATGTCTCTGTTGTGTATCCATATCCTGATATTAGAGGGTTTGAAATCCATATCTGAAGTGAAAATAACGATTTAAACAATATCCTAGGATTTCATTTTTGTCCATATCAAAAAATCTAGAGTGGCAACAGTGACAATTTTTTATTGTGACAATAAAATTGATAAAAATATAAAAAGCTTTTAACAACAGCGATTTGATGATTAGATCTACTATGAAATATAAATGTTAAACAGTTATAATCACCATGTCACTCTTTGGATAAATGTTGAAAACTACTTGGCTTAAAGCTATATTAAATCAATTTTTATTTGAATGATTAACCAATGAACGACAATTAAAATAAAAATAAATAATCACATAATCGTGGAAATATTACAATATAAGATAGCTCGATTTTTTTTTACAATTATTGCATTTAAATGAAGTTTTTACGTGATATTTTTACGAAGTATAATTTGTGAACGGTATGACTCCTCGAGTTGCGTACTATTACGAAGACATTAAATATTTGAAATTCTCGAGAAGAGTCTATGACTCATTAAATATTAAATGCCGGCACAATTCCGTTAGAGTGTATATTCTTTGTGACGGGAAAATCCCAAATTCCGTTAGAGTGTCTGACATGTGTTTTTTTTATCACGGGAAAAGGTCAAAGATAGAACTAGAGAACCTTTCTGAAAATTGATGATATTATCGTCAATAGAATTGTTTAATCTAAATCTAATTTTGTACTGTAATTCGTAATTTCATAAAAATAGTTACATAATATCCGAATCAAAGATTGCTTGCATAATTTAAATTGTGAAAGTCGATAGTCGGTATTCTCCGCAAATACATCTGAAATAGTTCTACCCGCTATATTCAAGAATACCTATTGTTAAAAATGAATTCGACGTTGTTCGGTTCGATCAATCGATGCGCGCCTTCAGTAATACTTACATGCACGCTACATTTAATATTTTACATCGTCTTGAATACGCGAATGGTGAGCACAATTGCTGGTTAATAAATTTTCTAAGAGGTAGAGCAGTGTACGAAGTTTGTCATATTACTGGCACGTTTTGAGTTGCGTATACAGTATATACATATAGACATTGCGTTACCCGATAAAGGAAACTTGTTGTTACGCTACTTGCGCCTGTTTACAACTTTTTACCTGTCACGCTTTGGTGTTTTTAATAAATCATTATTAATTGCCACGATGGTTCGTGGAATTCTAAGCAAGATTTCTCAATTAAACAATTACGAAAATGACAATCTATTTTTTGAGACAAAAATATAATGATTAATTAATGGATAGTTCTAATTGTGCAAGGCAATAAGATCTATAGAAACTTTGTAGCTAAAGGCAAAATATTTAAACTATTTTTATACACGGGAATATTAGCAGCATTAACGAGATGTTATTTTTTAAATATATTGTTTAAGTAGCGCAAGTAGTTCGAGCTATTTGTGTCTGTATCATGCGCAAGCAATTTAGCAAGAATTTCTTATGTACGATAGAAGGAGAAGGCGATCGTTGGAATGTATATTTACAGGAAATTGCTTTGACTTCAATCCTCGAGCGTAATTGCTAGCATGGCGGTACGATCGAAGAATGGAAGATGAGTTCTTATCATTGGTAAAATTAGAACTCGGCCGTTGTTACGACGATAGGTCGATCCACGACCTATTTACGTATGGCGAAGTTATTTAACGAATGTAAAAGTTGTAATGACAGTCGTAATTTCATCATAATTACTTTGCATTGTAGTTTATTATAATTTATTCTATTTGCGATTAATGCGATGAATATTTAAGACACATTACGAGTAATGTAAGTAAAATAATTTATCGCATAGCAAAAGTGTGCGTTTAGGTTTTACTCTTTCATTTAGATTTTATAATTCGCACGGAGGTGAGCACGATAATTCTCCGTTTCGACCGTGTCTCTCTATATCGAGCGCCGCAGTTAGCCTTGCCTTACGAATTTATGTGCTATCGATTCTTCACGGTCATTAGAAACGAATATGTGGGGTATAAGGTGAAGAATCTATATCCGTAGGAAACAGGCGAAAAATGCTATAGCATTCCGCCGGTCGCAAAGTTGTCCATCGAATTGTTCGCGATATTTCTTTGAAATTGTCTTAATGACTTGTTAGCGAGATTAATACAATATTTAAACATGCTTATCCACTGGTATTGAATATAAGAAGTGAGGATATGCTATGTATACAATTTAACAATACAAGACACTTTGTAAGAGCATACTTTGCTTATCTATTTGAAAGGCAGGATATCATGTATACTTCTTAAAAAGAGAGGATATCGTGTACCTTGCACAATGTGTGGAAGAAAGAAAAATATAATCTTCGATCAAGGAGAACATAATTTTTTTTTCATATTGTCATAGAAGTTATAAATATATCTAACATTTTTATATTTTAAAATAAGAGCAACGATACTCACTGTCCTTTGCGGTACTTTTCCTTCGTCGAGTTGTCATATCCACCTCTGATAATTCAATTTCCGTGGAATGTTCCAGGTAATACGAGGCCGGGTTTCCTTTCTTGTCGCAAATACTAGCGTCACATCCGCCTTCTATGAGAATATCCCAGATCGAATCAGGATCTTTACATGCGCAGCAATAATGCAAGGCTGTTCGTCCCTCCTGCAACAATGAAAAATAACGTAAGTACATGACATTTAATCATAAATGGATTTAGAAATCTTCGAGATTTATATCTTCGACGAGAGAGTGTCGATGAATAAGGATATCGAACACAAATTTACGTCATCAGGGATGATACACGCTAGATCAGAATTGTTTCGCTTTCGTGCATTTGCATGTATCTGTTAGTGTATAGCTGATGGCGGGCAAGGAAAGAACAGGTGGTTTACACTTCGTTATTATCAGCGTCACGCGATGCGGGACCGTGACAAACGTTGCTAGGAAGAAGGTGTTCGATTATTCAGGAGCTTCTTCTCGAACGAGTTGACAAACGTTTGTGTCGCGACACGACTTCGTCGTAAAAATAGGCCTCGCGAACCTTGTGAATTATAGAAGATAGCCGATCAAAGTTAAGCAAATTAAGACGATAAAGATCATTAAATTGACTATTAAATTGAAATTAACGCTTATGGTTAACGTTGTTGGAAAAAAATGACGTACTCTATCCTTCTGTTGTGGCGTAATAGGATAATTTTCTAAGAGCCAGGAGACGATCTCGGGTTGATCGTAGTAGACCGCCTTGTGTATCAAAGGTACCCCACATGAATCCTTCGCGATCGCCAGCTTTTTCTTCGACTCCTCGGCTATTATCTTCTGCGTTTCAGCTAACGAGCCGCGCGCAATAGCATCGTGCACTTGAGAAATCTTCGTCTAAAATAAATCAAACGATTGATTCTTACCAATACTTTTTCTTTTAATGAGAATTTCCCAATCTGGGGAAGAACAGTTTTTCTGTTCCGTAGAATTTAGTTAGGCTGTTTAAAATAAATCTTGTCTAATTTGGTGAACTACTTACCAAATAGTTCGGGAGTCCCTTCAGGAAGACACGAGTTCTAAGATCCTGCGAGTGTTCGCCTAACAAACGCGAGCCCCGACCCTCCAACACAATATTTTCGAGTTTCTCGAGCTCGCCACGGTGCAACCAACCTCTCACGGCCGAATGCATTTGACCCTCTGCAACAGAATGACAGTTTCAAAATTTTGAAGATAAAAATATTACATGTAAACATATTATGAATACAGAATAATTGTGACGTAATTAATTTGTAAAAGTATAATAATAATTCTTCAGGCACTCTGTCCCTCTTTATAAAATGTAACTGCATTTGCTACTGATAATGAAAATGAGCATAAGAGCTTTTCAATATGTTTTAGAATCTATAGAGAATTAACATATAGAGATTTCACAGATATTTCGTCATTACCGGCTTCTCTTCGTTATTGATTATCATATTCATTCGCATGTTCTGCAGCATTCAAATATATTTTCGTTTGCATATTCATAGTGCTTTATAGATGATTGGCGGGTCAGGATATAATAGGGATATTCATGACACGCGAAACGTGATATTACTTGAAAGCGTGCATAGAGATGCTCCAATATGTAGTCGGAAAGCTTCAATATGTAGTCAAGAATTTATATGTTCTGACAGATTCTTTTCAATTATTAAAGTATAATTATACGAATTATTCTCACTATACCGCAAAAGATCGCATCATATACCGCGATGCGGTTTTGGCAATTATGTCATGGCGATGATTTGCATTATGCACTATCATATAGAATCTCATCGGTTATTCACTCGATATTGTAAACGTCGTCATTAATTCGGTACACGTTTGGACTTTTCCTCTTACGAAAGCAATCGGTAAAGTCCCTGATTCTATCTGTTCAATGCCAATGCATGGAATTTATGATAATAGAATGTAAACGTATTGTGCTCATCGTAATTTACACATCTCTATTTGCGTTTTCGTTTGCACGTGCATTTATCTATTAAATATTCTTTAATTATGCATATGCGTTTTTATCATTTTAAGCATTAGTATTCGTGTATTATAATATTTGTGTGTATCTAGTGTGTTTAAATTTAAATGGAGAGAATAAGATAAAGAGAAATTAAATTGATCTTTTCAATTTTTAATTACGAATATTGCGATAGCAGACGCTACAAGTGTAGCGATACGATTTGGCAATACCAATTATTTTTTGCATAAAGCCTAATATTAAACAAAAATAAAGGCATTATGCGAACTTTTGCTAGTCAAAAATTAACATGCTTCCTTTATATGCGCATTAAAAAATTAAAACAAGCCAATAAGTTATATTCATATTAAGCTTTCAATGGATAACATTGAAACTTTTGAATATTTGCACTGAAGCACATTTAAGAAAGATGTTTCTTGTTTCAACGAAATGGATTGTTAAAAAATATACGGATCCAAAGGATAAAATCCGCAGTGCTCTATTCGGCAGTGTATCGAAGAAAAAATGGTACCTGATCGGGTCTGATTCGCTCCATTTTTGTGTCGATCAAACGGACTGTGCGAGTCGAACAATATGCGTGGCAGCGCGTTCTAAGAAGATATGACACATGGGCGCGGGACGTCGCGACGCTGCGACATGAGGAAGCGTCGCGCGTCGAATGAAGCCGACGCTCGGCGTCACGACGCCACCTGTGCGAACCTTCGTTTTCTAGGGGCGAAAAGTCTGTTGTTCTTGGAAGGTTTTTGGGAAGGAGAATCCCCTCGTATTCGTTCCCCTCCCCCACCCCCTTTCCCAGTCCAATCCGGGCGAATGAATAAGAAATTAACATTGATCAAGAATTGATACTAAAGCTACTTTGACAGTAGTTGTTGATTTCTTCCGGCAGAACTGCATTTTTTTTATCCGGGACTGTGTTCGATCGTAAAATGGAATAAGCGATGCGCTGCATGTGTTTATCTCCCCGCGCGCGGTTACGTCAATAACCGCGTGTCACAGTAGCGATAAATTATGTTATAATAATAGAAGCATACACTACCGCGAAACTTACTTAGAATTTGTTAAAATAAGGCTCTTCCAAAAATTTCCATCGCATTATATCTTCCTAGCAATCAATGTTACGTCTCTTAAGTTAAAAGAAAAGAATCAGAGAAAGATAAATTATTACTAATATCAAAACGCGGTATGACAAATGTGCTTTGGTGAAGCTCACTTTTCACGCAACAAGCTGCTAATCAAACAGAGTAATCTCATTATACAAATGACGTGCGCTGACATTATTAAGATTAAGCGGCAAGGTCAAGGGAATGAAATGAATATTCTTCTGATAAATGACTTTTTTCACGGAAGTACATGTTAGTATATAATTATGATTAAGTGAATTTGCTGTTTAATAGTATAATAGTAATTGATATTGCAGTGTCTAATGTGATGAGATGTAATGCGAAAATGAATTCATCACGAAATGTGTGTTCTCTGTTAATTAAGCAGTTTGTTTGAAACGAAAATAACTTTAGTCAATATCTTCGTGAAAGAAAACTTTCAGGGATGACTTTTATCTTTCATTCATCGGCGCTGTCGCAGTAACCCTGACTGGGGTGGTCGACTACGGCTAACGATTATCGAACTATCATATTTCGTCGCGCTCGGTATTTCCCACTATCATTTCTTCATTTTTACGACTTACGTGCGTTTTCTATTCTTACTTATTTGTTCTTATATCACGGTGCTGCAATCGATGTTAGTGGGTACAGTGCAATGACACATCGATCATGCTCTGCGGCTTATAGATACCTCAGTGTCGCGTGAACTCTTCAACTGGTTTTCCTTTTGTTGGAATATACAGTACGTTAAAAAGATACGTACACTATTAAATCTATAGTGTCAAACTGAACCTTCTTTAAGTCGCCACTGCTCTTACTTAATAAATAGTTATTTTTTAATAAAACAATAGAATTTAACCCAAATTTGAGTTAAATTTGAACTGTTTTAAATTATTTAACTCCATTGTTTTAGTAAAAAAAGAACTATTTATTAAGTAAGAGCAGTGGCGACTTAAATAAGGTTCAATTTGACACTATAGATTTAACAGTGTAGCAGAGATAATTGAAAGATTGAAAAGCTCGTGATACTAAATGAAATCCGTGCATTTTATCAGCTTATATATTAACTTAACTAGACTGAATTTGTAGTGGTTAAATGAAAAGACATAAAAATATATCAGTAGTATACATAGGTATTGCTTATATATATAATTCTGTAATATAATTTAAAACTACGGCAATCACCTTTTGATCGTAACTCCACCAAGAAATAAGATAATAGCGAAAGTCGTCTTTACAATATCGCGGACAAATGTATCGCCTCGCGTGCTATTTACTGGAAAACCCCATTCTGATTTCTCAATAGGGCGTTAATAATGAATAGCATTCTGTTTAATTTGCCACTGTGTCGAAAGCGTCTTCCTGATTCATCGTATTACGTAAAACACCTTTTATCTTAAACGAAGCTAAACCACGTTCGAAAGCTACGAGCCACTTCGTAAGACTGACGATTGCATCGTTTTCCACGTGTCCTATTCACCAAGGTACTTTATTATTTATGAGGGATATAGCTGGCAAGAGTAGCTTTGGTGCCATAATGCCGCCATGAAAGCGACAATCAAACTTCCAAATGATCAATCGACAATGCCGAACATTTATTGATCCTTATTTATAAATTTGTGAAAAAACTAAAATGTTACGCATGCGTAAATATATCTTTATAAAATATGTTAAGAACTCATGAAAAACTATAAAATTATTATTGATAAAACCATAATAGGTAATATGTAGGCATATATTATAATTTTATTTTGGTCTATATCGAGACTTTTGAAATAACGAGTTTTAAGTTGTTTATATGAACCGTGATTTGCCCATTCTGACTTCTACATTTTTAACTATTTTGAACAAGAAAAATATACTTTTCTTGGAATATCGCAACCGTACGGAACTTAATTCTTTTTCTCATCCAAATAATGAATTGTTATACACATTTTAACTACCGGATATTCATTTTATTCTATTGACACCAAGAAAACGGTTCTACTAGAGATACTACTTTGACATTTAACTTATATTGGTACTTGTTGATAGTTTAGATATAGCTTCTTGCAGTTTCCTCCTATTTTTTTATTACGCGGTTTTATTATTTTTTGTTTTCAATTTCAATGCCCTTAAAATATCTTATATATATATATATATATATATGTCTTTTTTTTTACTGTGTTCGGGAACGTGCTATCAGCGCTATTGCGCTTTGTCCTTGTTTTACGTTTAATTAATGTTAAACATAAAAATATACAATAGCGCTGATAGTGCGCTCTCCAAACGCGCAGCTTTTATATTAAAATGTTACATTAGAATATTTTTATATTTCTCTACGATATTCCTAGCCGAAGAAGATTCTGTGCAATCGAAATGTTTTATTTTCTATTTATTTATTTACTTGACATTTTGTTTATTGCTCGTTTTTTGGCTTCTAACATTTATATTTTAGCACACACGTGAGCTTGACTTTTATTTAATATTTTGCAATTTTATTTTCTTTATGATAATCTGCCTCTAATGTGGCACGTGCCACATATATCGTCAAATAATCAAACCTATTTAAATATGTTTAAATACGATGGACAATTTAGACAGTATATATGCTGTGTACGGTGATTCTGATATCTTTTGTTTATTAGTATGTATTCGGAAGCGATTGAGTAAGTTGTCAAGCGTTTGCAAATTCCGAACGTCATTGTAGGTCAGCTTAAAAGGGAGACTTGGCCATTCGGCGATCAGAACGATTACTGTCGTGATATCGTTACGAGTTGCGTTATTCGATTACAAAAATGTTCGCGATTTTCGCACTTTTTCTGTTTTCCGTGGTCTTTGCTACTGGTAAGCAATTTTACTCTTAATATATAATTTAACATACCGCTAAGAAAACCTATTTTTAGAGATCAAATTTTTCAAATGTTTAACTTTGCTTGCTAATACTTACATAATTAAGCTTAGCATAATTAACTTCAGACAGGAGCTTGAACAGGTCGGATTTGAAATGTGTGGGACATGCTTTCCATAATGTGTCTCTTTCCGGATATTATCCAGTATTCGGGACGGACGATAAACGTAATCACTTAGACGATCAAGGAAAAATGTTGAATACTCTCCAGGTTCGTAAACGTGACATTTTAGTGACAGTCGCAATATGGTATCCAAGAAACGATTTGCGGACTATTCTCTCTGCTATGTCTAAATTCATTTTAGGATTACCTTGATGGTCGCGCTCGTTTCGTTACCGTGGCCGGTAATTTGAGATCTGGCATTCCGTACGGAACAAAAATATGCATAGAAAAGTTGAATGAGCAATTCGGCAGACAAATTCATCTGCAGGTGTGTAATTAATTGTATTATGTTTGCTACATCCTTAAGAGTGTTAGACTCGCAGTGAATTCTCTATGACATATTGAGACAACATAGAAAGAATAAAATTATTTGTTTCATCCCAGATAAGGGACCAGGTCGAGTGTAATAACAGTAATGTTGCACTCGATTATTCGAGATTGGAAATTTGCGTCAGGACCGAGGAGGACACTTACGATACGTACCTCAACGGTCTCGTTACTATCTACGTATAATAATCGCATGAAAACTATATGTAATTATATTTGATTGTTAATCGCCAATAATACTGTGAAATTAATATTTTATAATAAGATGTGCTGCTATATATGAATTAAATAATATTTACGTATATGTAAAAAAAGATTATTTATTTCTACAAATAGTACAAATTCTGACCTATTAATTAGTTCGATATAGCGATATACATAAAATTGATCGATTATGTAAATTTTAATGTTTTTACAGTCAAATACGATACGAACCTCGTAAATTTCGTATAACATCGATTACAAAATCATAGTTTATTATTCTGATCGCGACTGATAAAAAAAAGATTTTCATTACGGGTTATATTAGAACTTATATATATTTAGTTTATTCACTTTGCGACCACTTAGGCCACGATTTTATCATCTCGTAAAGACTATCTCCAGGACATGCGGTTGCCCATGTTTGTCGATGTCCTAGAAGTTTATAATCACTCTTTATTTCGCCGTTCTCTACGCCTTGAACGATCAAGTCAGCCACTGCTTGTACCGCCGCTGGCTTTGGCGTTCGATCTAATGAGAAAAAGCATGTTAGAGAAATACATGTTACGTACATGCGACACTAATTACAAATCCGTGTTATCTCTAATATTGCTTACTTGTGTAATTTCCGATGATGCAAATTCCAATACTCTTCTTATTGAATGGTATAGAATGAGCGCCTTGCTTGCCCCATCCGCGACCCTCGTAAACGTTTCCGTCTTCACCGACTAGAAAATTGTAACCAATGTCGGCCCATCCTTTCTTATTCATGTGGTCATTCTTGAAACAAAATTTTTAATCACTATGACATGCAAGTACTATTATTTATTAGTCATTAAAACGCAAAATAAAAAAGAACCAATAATTAATCTGTTCTATTATTAAAAGAAATACACTCGTTTAGACCTAAAATATTGCTCGATAGAATAGTAAATTGTTGTTTGCGAATGAAGATTTCTGACTTACAATTAAAAGATTTATTATTCAGAAAAAGTTTTGTTTTCTGGTATTAATTACCTGGAATTGCCTCACTTTTAACTGACACAGAGCTTGAATTTCGCAGCCGGAGCCAGTCGAATGATGAATGATCACGTAAGGCGCTGGTTTTAATTTGAGATTGAGAGCTTGCGATTTCGGTGCTCTAGCGCCCCATTGTGTTCTAGAAATGATGTTTGGGCTATCTGAAAAAGCAAATTAAAAATTAAAAATGACTGTGCTTCATGTAAAAATACTTTAGCAATAATGTTAATTAAATCAGTCGGTTAAAGTTTAATCCTAAAATCTAGTTTAATTAATTAAATTTAAAACAATTATTTTTTTTAGATCTTTAAATTATATGAAACGACATTTCACATAAATTTTACACAAGACATTTTTTTTTAGAAGACGAACTCGAAAATTTATGAACCCACATACTTCTTATGTTTCCTTTTTATATTTTATATGTAGTTTACAATAGACAGTAGCAGTATAGGCTGTAAGCCATAAGCCATAAGAAATTAACCAATTACAATCGAATGTAAAGAGATAACTGATAATGGTTGATTAATTTCTTATGGTTTACAACTTACTGCTATTGCCCATTGTAGACGACGTATTATGTGAACAGAATATTTTGTATCTCGGAGGGCAACATTGTTTTTTAAACACGAATCGGACTCTTGAATACTAAGAAATGAATAAATGTAATAATATTATAACTACACTCACATATGTTTCTAATTTTTATTCGTAATCAAAATAAGAAAACATTTATAAAAACATTTCTTACTCGCAAATATTTGTGAAATTATTTGTGATTATCATATCTTAGCTTGGAAGAAATTACTTGAAATGAAAATTATTGCATTGATGTAATAATAGTTAATGTGAAAATCCTGCTAAACGAGATGTTTTCATAATACTTTATCATGTCATAAATCTTACTTTATTCAAATAGATTTAACCACAATACTTGTTGCGCAAATACATTATTAATCAACTAATCGACAATAATTAGTATTTTCCCATGAGTCGTAATGTAATGATAGTTTTGATTAATCAAGAAAATATGAAGAGAACCACTAGGACAAAAAACTCATTCAATAGCACTTAGTTTTTCAATAACTTTATATCTTGTCGTGGAATTATTTACAATTATCATTATGTAAAATGCAAATTTTTTATTAAATATCTTTGAAACTAAGAATAAAGATGTGCTTATGCAAAATATTTTTTCACAGAAACAACTTTTTACACACTGTAAAAAATATCTCTAGAAATTTCGACGATCACACAGGCATAAAGTGAAGTTCACGATTTAACTCGCACGACATAAATAATATATTTAATGAATTTACTGGCGGTAGTCTCCTGGGCGACGAGCGTCGCAAAGATTAATATCACCGTCGTTGCGATGTTCATTTTGACTTGTAAAAACGATACTGATTCTATATGCGACGTGGCATGCAATATATAAGCATTCTTAATTCATGATATTACTCTTGTGGCACGATCTCTAGCTATACCAGCCTATAATGTGTACGTGTATATACATGCACATTTGATATCTCCGGACTTCCCTAGCAAGTTACTAATCTGTTGACTTATACGGAAGAAGGGGGAGAGGTCAAACTAACGGGAATTTTAATACCGGTTGAAGGTGCTCAAATCATTTAATTGAAATATCGATATACTTATATGTGTAAATTTATAATACATTTTTTTCGACAAAATTTGTGTAATCCAAAATTTTATTATTAAAATAATTTGTTAGACAATTAGATAATTTTTTTATTACCAATCAAAACTGTTCAAAATAGTTGGTAACGAAAAACATAATTATTTGACATAATTATACAGGTTTGATTATATATATATATATATATATATTTATATATATATATATATATATTTATATATATAATTATTTAGATTTACTATGGGGAGATGATGGGAAGAGAATTTTATAATACACATTTATTTTATTGTACACACAAACTTATGCTATATATAGAACTATCTATTTAGTATTTACTAATATATTTATTTGATCTACTCATCTATTTACTGATGATTTAATGAGAAATGCGAAACAATTATATATTTTAAATGAATGAAAATGATAAGTACAAGAAATATAATAGTATGTGGCTAATCATTCGTATTGCTTAAAAGGAACAGGCTTTTAAGAAACCTTATCGAGCTAGTCGCGCGCACAAGTTGACCCACCAATCGTATAATGCAAAATCAATATTGACAAACGCCTGCCAATGTTTCGGATTTGCTCACACTTCGATCGAAACTTTGATTAGCGCAAATAGCGAAACGCGTTACGAAACTCTCAATTTGAATTCTTATCTGATCTCCCTGAACTTTGAGCGAAAAACAGCATATGGTAATGAAATTGCGATTATGTTACATTATGTACAGCAGTGATTATCGATTTCACGTGTCCAGCAAAACAATGCTTCTGGGCATCCCCGGGAGGTGATCAGTCTTTTGTGATCAACAAATTGACGTTTTTTTTCAAATTTATTACTCGTAAATATAAGAATATATTTAAATAATCTATTATTGTCTGCGTAAATAAGATTGAGGAATGCAGTAAGCAAGTCAGTTTTTCAGATGTCTATGCAGATGATTTTTGCAATTTTTCCAAAAAGTGATCAATATGTCGACCAAAAAATAATTTTTCTGAAAGATATATGTCCATTTGTTTATATTGTCAATATATTTGCTAATTCTACCGTTTCAATGTCCATGAAGTCCGCGGTCGTAATTTACAGTATATATCATACATTATGGAACAGATAGTACTTGAGAAGATTTTGTCGGAATAATCCATACGAAATTATGCCAGAGGGCAGAGGCAATCGTGTGGCATCGTGATATTTCGATTATCATTGTCGTTAATTAAACCCGAAGACCGTGACCTTAGAGCATATATTGCTTAAGCATAGCCATGTAAAAGTACGCCCGCACGCGAACCGAGGCGAGAGTAACATTGATCTCGTTTGTCGAACTTGCGTGATAGATATTATATTTATGTCACATACTCTAGAGTGTCCTATTTGACTTTTGTAACGATTTAAAACGCGTACACACTGCGTGTACATGAACTTTGCATTTTAATGACGGCTATAATGACAGTTTTATTGACGGCATCTTAACCATGCTATTACGTAAAAGTTAGCGCGGAAAGTCTACGGGGTCACTTTGCACATCGGGGGAATCACCTTCGCGAGACGGAGAAAGCCATATTTTCTTTTATTTATTAAATGACCTAATTCACGGCAGCAAATATGTTTCGTAATAACAGTAGCAGAGGTAGCAACGGTTGTATCCGGTATCTATATCGAAAAAAAACTATTACATGTATATACATGATATAAAACTAAACTCCACTTACTAAATAACGTAAGCGGGTTTTCAGAAGTTACTCTGACACGCAAATCTATCAGACTCTTATTATAAATAAGAAAAAAAGAGAAATATACCGCAAGTCGACGTTAGATACGATTGTATCCTTTTTAATAAAAGTGAAATAATTTTGCGGTACTTGCAGTCCTTTGATAAATTTTTGTTCTATACTTATAATTCGTTATAATTGCGGTGTATTTGACAATGACCTAAAAATGCCATCATAGAGTAACGTTCGATTTGCTGTTTTCCTCTACGTCCTCCTGCATCGTCGGTTTCGTCGTGGTGGTGGTCGAACGTATGTGAGGTATCGGATTTGCAGTCCAACCGGGAAGAGTAACTACGTACTTGTAAAAGGTCTCGCCGGGGCATTCCGTGTTTCGCGCTTGTCGATGACCAATTACGTTGTAGTTGTCTCTTATCTTGCCAAGTGAAACCCCGCAGGCTATCAGCTCGTTCAACGTCTTCAGAGCGGCCGCGTTCGGGAGAAAGTCTGCGAAATCATACATTTACATACGTCACAACAACTGACGCAGAAGTTTCTTTTTGCGATATCTTAAGGAAAGTGCTAGCTTGCGTGTTGTTTTATATAATATAAAAGACAAAATTTTCTAATAAAGTCAATTTTTGAGATGGTACTCTTGAATTTTTAAATAATATAACTTATCTTTGATCTATGCAATTTAATATCTTTTAATTGCAACACAAAAAGTGAAAAAAAACAAGAAATATTTTCCAACAATTTATTCTCGACAATCCAAAAATTGTTAATCTTTTCTCGATGGAACATTATTTATACCGGCGATATATCAATTATAACTTAATTACCACTGAAGTGTCCTATGATACATATGCCTATGCTCTGGGTGTTGTATCCAGGTGAATGCGCGCCAGTGTAGTCCCAGCCGCGACCTTCGTAGACATTACCGTCCTCGCCAATGAGGAAATTATAACCAATGTCCCACCAGCCCCGATCGTCCAGGTGTAAGTTCTGGTAGGATCTAACGATCGCGGAGCACGTCTCCTGATCCTGACAGTAGTTACGTATACCGCCGTGATGGATTACCACGTACGGTGCTGGTGTTACCGGCATTATCTCGAATTCGAGACGCTTCCTGGCTTTCCATTCCTTTCGACTGACAATTCTCGGGCACTCTGGAGAATTGAAAATTTATCGATTGTTCTTGTTTGTTTCTTAATAAATTATTCTGAAATTAAATTAACTTTTCGAAGGCTGGATAATTTTAAAAGATGGAAAGCTTAACGTGTTGTTTAAACTAGTGTGCGTAATTCCTATTTAAATGCATTATAGATTCTTTATAATAATAATTGATAAAATTACGATTTTCCTGCATTGTCGCGCAGAATAACCAACGCAGAACTTGACAGTTATAAATTGGAGTCAGCTAACGAGTTAGCGAGCACGTTTTCAGCAATTAGTTGCGCAATTGCAAATATGTTTCTATCGTGCAGAAATTATTTCGTCCTTGAGATACAGTGACAGATTGCCCGGTTGGATTTCCGAGTAAAATAATTTCTGCTCAAATGCATTCCGCAGATATAGAAAACTCTGGAAAAATACTGACTAATTATCGAAGCGCGCTTGTCATGAAGAGCGCATAATTGCTTTGTTTTTATCTCGAATTTCACTTTCTCTAGATACACGTCCGATCGCGTAAATCAACTTATACGACATAATACAGTTTAACAGGACAATTTACAAATATAGATTTGTAACATACTTTAAGAAGAAAAGTTTATTGGTTTTCTTTTATACGGGCTGTAAACAGGTTCTTGAACTTAAGCAGATTATCCGTGCATAATCATTTTTGCGAGGTCGCACGAACCTATATTGTATCACGTTAACGTTTTATTTTTAAACAACTGATTAATTTTAATTTTGTATTAAGTCATAACACTGCCAGAAAGCTGGATACACACTAGTCACTACGACTCCAATGCAAATGTGGACTTTTTTTTAGCAAAAATTGCTGTGAGCTGCGCACTTATTATACTTATCATATCTAAACGTGGACTTTATTATTAAACACTTTAGTTTGCATGCAGATGACTCACGACAGTTAAGTATACGCTAATGAGCGATCGGAAGATCGTAGATATCTTTGAACTTATCTTTGAACGAAAACAAAGTTAAGTAAAAGTTAATTCGTCGCGGATGTTTGCAACTACTTTTTTATTATATATTTACATACATAAAAGGTATACGTAGAAATGCAAGCTCGTTATCGGATAAATCGAAAGAAGTAGAAACTTTCCGATTTGCGTATAAAGATTATTAAAAACGATCGAGAAAAAATCATGTAAAAAACTTGATATAAAAAGATTACTAAAAGCCACGAATAATAATACTAGGAAAAAATACAGATAATACTTATTTATAAGTAATGCAAAAAATTAAACTTGTATATATCATAAATCTTCTTATAAATGTTTACCACGTGATCTTCCACAATATTAGCGAGGTCGCAATTTTCTTCCACGACGAAGAATTAATTCCAAGAACATGATATAGTTTTTATCGAAATCTTCGATTTTCAAATAGCTTACCAGTTGCATTGATGAAATTCATGTTGTCAATGGGAACGGCGAGCACCGCGTGTTCGAGGAGACCGAGAAGGAGTACGAAGGCGCACAGCGCCGGCAGTCGGATGATGTAGGACATTCTCATGGTGATTGACATCGTTACAGCGCGTGTCAAAAGTTAAACTGGGTAGGCATTGTGTCGTCGCGTCCGCTTTTAAACGAAAAACCGAATGACAGCCGAGATTGCCGGGAAGTCCCTCGGAGAAATCGCGCGTCGAGAACCAACCCGTTTGATAGTCCCTTAACCCTGCCCCCTCTTCGGCGCGTTTCTCACAATGATCGTAACGTTGACAATGACGACAACTTCGAGGAGGAGCGACGCTAGTCCGAAAATTCGCGCAATATCTGCATCGACTCCGATTGCGATCGAAATGCGGAAGGACGCGGGATTGCGCTGTCGCGCGATAAGAAATCGAACGCGATAGGTTGAAATTAACGAGATTGGAAAAGTGATTGAGTGTAGTGCAACGAGAAATACTGTGAAAATGATGACACAAAAAAAGCATGAAAGCCTATATATTAAGATAATTAATAAGTATGTTAACGTTCGTGCGTTTATATATTCTAAGAGATTGGAGAGAGAAAAATACTGAAAAAAATTTATAAAATAAATAATCGAAAAATATATAAAGAGAGTATAAGCAAATAACTTGTCTATATAGAAAAAAAGATCATCTTCTCTTTAACTTAAATGCAATATCTATAACACAGTTAAATGTGCTAATGTCATTTACAATTACTTATAAATAATAATAATAAAGGAGAGAAAGAGAATTACGAAGTTTCGACACAATTGATCCTATTTGTTACATTTATTTTTTATTAATGAAGTTTATACATATATAACATTTTTTTTTCTACGCGAGTTAACAGTCACGTTACAACGAACACGATTCGCACGATCTTATCAAATGGATCGTATATTTCCGATAAGTAACGATATCTAGAAGTTACATAAACTAATCAATATCGCGCGACAGTTATAGAAAACACATAAAATTCTATTTAGTGACTCGGTTTTTCAATTATATTTTTTCTGATTGCTTCGATCAGCGATCGAAAATTTTTGATAAGCAACGTCAGTGAATAACAACGCAATTTATTAAAATGTCCATTTTCTGCCTGCGAATAATATTGATGGCTTGCTATTTTCATGCGCATTTGGATATCAGATCTATAATATCTGACAGATAACATATTTGTCTTCTGATAGGAATATATCGAACGATGCAATTCGCTTAAATGGAACTACGTCATTTTAAATTGAATCTATTTAATCTAATGCAGTCTGAATTATCATTCAAGTGTATGTATATGATATATATTTTTTGTATGAATATTGCCCGTAATTTTACGAAAATAAAATCGTTACTTAATAATTCAAACAGATGAAAATAATTGAAATAGAAGAAGGCATTATTTTGTGACAGCTATTTCATTCATCGAATTACAGTAGACAAAATATGTGTCGATATGCAAATTTTTGTTCCGTTTCTGTACTTATAATAATAACCGTCGATGTAACGAGGTGAGTACATCGTTACTCGTGTTTGCGAATGTGTGATTTTGAGATAATACCTTATTCATGAAAGGCGTCAAATGACTTTTGTTTACTCGTGCGCTGTCATAGCTGTCGACTAATTATTTCCTGCGGTCGTTTGTCATTGGCATAACTCTTGCGACATGACGTGCGTCGGATTGCTTCTGTCGAAAGAACGATATTGTTTGCTATATCGATAACCAAGGATATATTAACTCGTTAAATTTAATGCGAGTAACGCTACGGAATTCATGTTAAGATTCACGAATGCAAATAGTACGCGGATAATTGTACCGAAAATAGCCGTCAGATAATGCAGCCATTTAATTACTAAAGAAAAAAAGTAAAGAAAAAATGGAATTGAAAATATTTAGGTAATCATGATAAAATCGTTAGTCATTGACGTAAGCGTGAACAATGGCGTTAGTCAAAGCAATAAAAATTAACGAATAATTTGAAAAATTCGCGGAACGTACGATTGCTACTGGCTAATATACGCGATATACAATTAAGAAAGCATTGTGAGCAATGACGATGATTAACGGTAAAATAGTAATTGATGTAAGTCATGAGAAGAGCATGCGAGTCATATTACAACTGAAATACATATCAAGGTAACGATTATATATATGTATGTACTTTTTGCAATATAAAAGTGAATATAAGAGTGAGTGTGACCGCTTTGCAGTAATCATCCAAAATAAACAAAAAATTTTTTGGAAAATTTCTTACTAATTTTTCTTACAAAATGTAATTACGAATGACAAAATTATTGCTGAGAATTAATGTCCCATCGGAAGTAATATCGAGGATTAAATTGATACAAAGAAACAATATCGAAATAGTTAATGACTGTTTATTCGGAAAATTGTCGGATTATCGGGTAACGATAAGCGTTACTAGAGAATTTTATCACGTACTACATCGGTGTAGAAAAATGGGAAAACTCTCTCTTCCTTCCCTACCACCTCTCTCGCTCTCTCTCTCTCTCTCTCTCTTGTAAAAGTAAATTGACATAATATGTTAGCATTGAATATATTATCTTGCAAATACATTACTGCAAAATAAATTCTTACAAAAAAAAGTAAATAAGTATAACGGCAGTTATTATATTTACATCAATAATTGAAATTGAGATTTAAAATCTTTCTTCAGTGGATTCATTTGATATCGAATATTGTTATAATTTATTATAATTAAGATTGGCTGCAACATAAGCTAGTATTAATATTTTTAGCAAATATACATAATGTATTTAATTTTTTTAACTCCGAAGTATTACATAATGCTCTTGAAATTGCGGATGCAGTATTTATACGACTATATATACTAGATGTCGTCATTCTCCAAACAATATAAGTTTGACCTCGAGAAGTGACCTAGCAGTTTTCTGGCTTACCATCGTAGATACAATACATTACAATTTCAAATTACAATAATTCCTGCCTATTCCTACCTACCCGTTTTCTGAGGCCTTTTTTCAGTTGAACTTTTTGCATTATATTCGTCTTTCCTCTTTTTCTTATCTCGTCGGAGACATTCCTCCTCTTCCATGTTTTTTCCTATAAAGAAAAATAGAACTCAAACTATATCTCAAGCCAAATTTTATCTAAATATTCTTCAATTAAATCTTGATTATAAATGACATTACAAATACTTGACGCTTTTTTTATATCTTTTTAAAATGGAGAATATTATTTTTAGATTTAAATTATTCCAATTTGTAGTTTTTATTCTTATAATTCATTGATATATAGTTATATTCGGTGAATCTAGCACGGACTAAAATTAAACGGAACAAAATTGAAGACTGTGGATATGTTATCCGTCGCGCGCGCGAAAATATCTGTGGCTACGTAGTTCAACGTGCACGTTTTGTAGAGGCGCCAATAAACAGGTTCCATATCTAAAACACGAGCATGTCGGTCTATCCTTATCATGCTCTGTCTGTACCCATATCCCCTATTGGTATTTTAATTTTATCAAACGTTTAACTTTTTAATTTTTCAACTCAAACTTTGCGAGAAATGTTTAAGTTCCGATTTGCAGAAGATGCAACCGGTACTACTGAAGGTACGGCTAATACTTATGTGATATGTAATAGAGACGCACGTGTCTATTCATAATTTGAGGTTAAAGCATCATAAAACTGTTTTCCCGCGAATATTCAACTCGCATCTTTCAATTTTCACGAAGTACGCGCGCGCAAAGGACTTATTTATTTAAATAATTTTAGAGGAGAGCGAACAGAAGGGTAACTTAGAATGGATTTCCGCCTCCAAACTTGAAATAACGCCAGAACAAATTGAAGCGAAATATGAGGCTGATTATTATACGGAGACCGAAGTGTTTTCTGGTTGCAATCTAAAATTAATCCGCTCTGATAAAGTAACGCAGGATTTAACTGATCAAAATTACCAGAATATTGTTGAGGCCGAGTCGAAACATTCCGATCTCATTCCAGCGAAATACGAAGGTAATTTTTGCGCAAGTTAAAATTCTTTTAAAGTTTTCTTTAGGATTTACTGACAATTTAAATTTTATTGGAATCCTCGAAGTTTCGTTATAATATATTTAATATACTTTAAAAATTAATTGTGCAATTAAGGCGGATTAAAAATCTGGGAATGCACGTTTGATTTGGGTCAGTACATACTGGAGAAGAAAATCGAGTTAAAAGGCAAACTCGTCATGGATCTAGGCTGCGGTGCTGGATTGATCGGTCTTTTGTCTCTTCGCAAAAATTCCGCGGTCCATTTCCAAGATTATGTTCGTATGAGTCGTGATTGCCGCGCTAAAAAGCGGGCCGTGATTAACGAAATATTTTTTTGTAGAATACCGAAGTGCTAAAATCTGTGACAATTCCGAATGTGGTACTGAATTTTGATCGTACGACTGTACTAACGAGGTGCGAATTTTATGCCGGGGATTGGGCTTCTCTCGCGACGTTATTCGACGAAAGTAAAAAATACGATTATATCTTCACGAGCGAAACGATTTACAATCCTGATAATCATAAAAAGTTATATGAGATTTTTAAGACAAAACTAAAAGCCGATGGCGTTGTGTAAGTAGATTGGATCACAGTGATACTTCATTTCTATATCAAAACTTGAGTTTCGAAAAGTGATTTCTTTTAGATTTGTCGCCGGAAAAACTTATTATTTTGGCGTTGGTGGGGGAATGAGACAGTTTGAGAATCTCATCTTGAAGGACGGGTGTTTCGACGTTAAGTCGGTGTGGAGAAGTCAGGATGGTGATTAACGATTAATCGTAAATATATTTTTCTTTTTTACTGGTTCAACAATATTAACTATATATATATTTCAGGAGTGAGCAGAGAAATTCTGAAACTCACGAGGAAACTGCATCAAAAACAAACGTCTGGTGTATAACATTATTGTCTTAATACTGAGGTATCGGCTCGGAATGTAATTACAGTAAAATATGTCAGCAGTAGCGATTCTTCCACAGCAAGATTTGTTTTCTGCTTACGTATACGAAAGTAAACTTTTTCATTCGTCTTTTGTTAAGAAACGATTTTTGTTGCGATGTTTTTTTTATGGCGAGAGTCTCTCGTACACCCATCCATCCTCTCCTTTGTGCACAAGAATATTGTCCACTTTCTCGTTCATTTTCGGACGTCTGAAACGGATTCTGTCGTGAAGTCGATCGCTCTGACCTTGCCAGAATTCTACGGAATATGGCACGACGAGATAACCGCCCCTGAAATAAGGCATCTAATATAACGATCTTTATAAATAAACGATGATCTAAATTTGGAAATTATACACGTGGCAAATGCACGACACTATATATTAACGGTCCGTCAGTGGTAATAAATGTACATATATTAGTGTTGCGAAATGAACAGTGGCAGCGTGCCATCGCACGTGGCTATTAGTCTTCTTAGCGTTTCTCGTATAAGAAATTTTTATATTTGAAATAATTATAATCAGAATATATAATATATATAATATATATAATCAGAAAAACTTTCAAGTCAATGCTTTACACGTACATCAATTTAATAACGCTTTACGCGTGCACCAATTTAATAACGATTTACTAATGATATATTAATTATTTTCTAATTATAATATTACCTACCAGCAAGCGGGTCTTTTAATCTGATTTTCTGGGAACTGTGCAAGCAGTTCTCTTTCTTTTACAATCAGAGTCTGTCTGCTGGCGATCACGCTGCTCTGCTTGCTGGCCATAGATCCGATCTTATTTTCATACGGGCGGCTTTGGAAATAACGGTCCGAATCTTCCGCCGAGGTTTTTTTCACGAGACCTTCGATACGTACCTAAAATAATTAGTAATAAACCAAACAAATAATTATGACGAAAGAATTGATTAAAGCGGTGTTGTAATAAGATATAACGCTATCGCGGAAATTTTGCTGTTTGTGAGATAAAACCTGGTATAAAAAAAAACGAATACCGTACGCTTCGTCTAAGAGATTCCCAATAGAAAGTCAGCGCGGCCTGCGGATTTTCAGCCTGCAAATAAATCGAATAACGCAGAATTTGTTTGTCTCTTTGGTATCGCAAAAAATGTCTATTAAATATTTGAATGACAGTGAAATATCTCAACTCACTAATTCGCGACCTTTTCTGCTGTCGTAATTCGTGTAGAACTTGAAGCCTTCAGTGCCGAAGCCTTTCAGCAACACCACGCGCACGGATGGTACTCCATCTCTGAAACAATTGTGACGTAAAACATAAGTGAATTGTCGGTTATTTGCGCAATCTTCTTGCAGTTCATTAGCATTAACTCTTAACTCTTAACTAATCAACTTTTATTTTTTTTCTTACGTGATTAGCATTTCCGTTAATTAACGAACTGTAAAACTTCTAATTCTATCTACATAAACGTTTTGTCTTTCCTAATAACGCATATGACACGTACGTTTATATTTAATTTTATTACGAGATCATATATTTCAAAATTTCGAAAAAATCAAGAAGAAATATTACCTCGTTGCTGTCGCGAGAATCATCGCATTAGGTTCCAAAATTTGCGGAGTATTGCAGGCCTCTTCAAACCATACTTTGAACTGCTCGATAGGTTCCTTGCTAATCAAATTATCTTCCGTAAAGGTTTCATTTTTATCTTTGTATTTTATTCGCATATCTGTAGGAAAAATGATATGAAAGTTAAAGATTTTTTACGGTTAATAAATTTTCAGAACACAAATATTTTTGAATTTTGGAATATTTTTTAATAACTTGATTATTTTTTATTAAGAATTTTATATTAGTCATTATCCCAGAAAAGTCGTATGTTTTTTTACTGACAGATTTTGGGGAGAATTCTAAAATGAAAACTCTTATACAAAAATAGGGGCTATAATACTTTTCAAATTATAATAACGATTAAATTTAATCTAATTAGCGTCTGAAATTCGCATCCTCAGGCTTGGTACATCGCAGTTGCGAAGGTCCTTTATACATTGACTTGTTTGTTAAATATTGACATAACTGATGCGCTTACCGCAAAAGTGTTTAATTGCCAAAATTGGGTTCTTATTTTAAAGCATTTCTCGACATTTTCGGATGAGTTTTCTTTTTAGTATCCCCAAAATTCCCTCAGAATTTGCCAGTGAAAGGACATACGACTTTTCCGAGATACTCTGTATAGATCGTCTTGCAATAAATAATATTATGAGAAAAAAGGATTTTACAAAAATAAATTATAAAAAGAATAGAATTAATAATTATCAAACCGCACCGATTGGTAAATACATATTTATATGAATACATATGTATGTAACGAACGTTTTCTTTGTTTTAAATTTTTTAATAAGAGAAAAACATTAACGAACATGCGAACAAAGAGGACGGTCTAAAACAAAATTAAAAATATATATTATACAAAAAAGTGTTAACGCACGAGGTTTAATTCATTTTCGAGAGAAATTTGATGTCAAAAATTTATAATTAAAGTATGTAATGACACAATTGTATATAATAATATATAATATTGGGAATTTTTTAACCTTCCTGATATTTATATATTTGCCACGACACAAGGCAGTAATTAGTTTATTACACGAAATCACGAAACAGACAGCTTTGTGCGGTAATTATTGATTTACCTCCTATGTCAACGGTGTAATTTTCACTCCGGACCGACATGACGTTGCACGATCGTACACCTGCGTACACCCGACTGCTCGACGACAGAACAGCTGACCGACTTACGGCACGGACGAAGCGCGACTGACACAAAACGGCCAAAACGCGCATGCATCGAATACGCTGAACGAATCGATACGCCAACGGCAAAGAAGAAACTGTTATCTTGACGTCTTTGTTATCTTAATACAGTGAGCTGATTTCAGATAAAGTCAGAAAATTCTGTTAACTTATCACTAACGTAGATATGAATCACTCGAATGAAGAAATCAAGGGAAATATTTGAAGAATGTTATATTTTCTATCTTTTTTCATTAATTTTTATCATTTGTCATTATTTTTAATATTCCGCAAAAATGTTTTTAAGTATACAAATGTGCAATTATTGCAATTGGGGACAAGTGAGAGGCTCGCAGCCTCAAAATAGAATCTCATGGATCCGTGTGTGTAGTAATCCGTCATTGAAATTAAATTTTCCATTCTCTCATTAGATGGCGCGAACAAAACACGAGCTCACAATTAGCACATTGACAATATTTGTAATTATTGCGATGACAATCTCTTAGGAGCGTTTTAATTTTAAAAATATTTTTGACTATTGGGTAAATAGCCAATATACAGTGATATAATAATTTTTTATTGTATAAATCCTTTTTACAAGTAATTATCAAACATAAGATAATTCAGTTGATTGTAATTAAAAACTAAATCGCGGTAGGACGAATTGTCGTTTGGACAATTTCGCGGATAAAGCATATTTTCTTTATCATCTTCATTTGCCAAGAAGATTAGGCGCATTCATGCGTTTTGTAAAAGTGTAAATTAGTAAATACTAATTTAAATATCGCGTCTGCGGTAACACGGATGTTAACGCAAATCAATTTCATGTCTGTAATTTTGGATCTACATATATTTTTATATTTACAAAACTAATTACCGTTAATTAATTCGATTATGAATATAATTTTCATATTTCTTAAATGAACATATCTTTAGCATTGTATTTTATTTATCCTGAATTGTCTTTCGCGGCTTATCTCGTTCAATTTTTAAATTTCAATTTTTAAATAAATAAATTTAAGTTCAATTTTTAAATAATTCCGAATTTCTAGTAATTTCTTCTGATTTAAAGCCTATCTTTTCTCTGATAACGGGAACACATTCGAGTTCACCACGGATAGCTAAGCTCCCGGTGCTGCTGGCAGTGATTTATTTGGCGCGATTAGAGGCACTTTGATCATAATACTGTCGCTACTTTTCGCGCCTTTGAATTGCGGGTCGTCAACGTCATTCGTTGTCACGAAGGACGGAATGGTTCGCGTAGTAAGCGTCGGTTCGGTGTTCGTCGGTCTTGAAACTCGCTCGATTTTCCCGGCGCGATCTCGACTCGTCTGATTCTCGCGAATCATTCGCGTCGCATTGTTTATGATGATCTGGGCGCCGATTTTCCGCGAGAAGATCGCGTTACGATCATTCCGTGTGTCGTTAGCAGTGCGCACTCGTAACCGTCGCCGGCGCGTTTTGCTCGAGGTCGTGGTGTTTTCATCACTCTTGACCGTGGTGGTGCTCCTCGGCGTTTCAATCGTGGTCGAAGTTGTTTCGTTCGAACGACGACTTCCGCTGTTGTCGGCGGACGCGATCGAGTCCGTGCAATTGGGCGGCGGTTGTCGGTGCAGATACGTGATCGGCCAGTGTCTGCCGCTGTAATAACCGGGATCGTTTGGACGATCGTAGCGATCCTCACCGATTGTCGGCCGAATTGGTCGCGGACTCGGGAGATAGGGATAATACTTTTCGCTGCAAGGACGCCATTGGTCCTCCGACAGTCCCACGTAGCACCTGCAATTGATTTATTTTTAACGTTGTCTTTCTTCTGTTTACAGAAACGCAAGGGAGTGGAAGGAAGGTGTCAGCAGTGGGAAGCAACGGCACTGGTGAGTTTAAAAATTATTATCAAATAACTTGTAGAGACGTTTCAATCAAAGGCTGTTCAGCTTTGTGTACTTGAACATAGAGTTGAAATCGTTTTCAAAATGAAAAAAAGACCCTTTACTGCGTCTAACATAAGTATCATCAGCTTTGAAATTTGAAATATAAAAAAAAGAGAGCAAAAGCATATTATGCTTTGATATATCGCGCTTTAACAATATACCATGGATAATGATATCCTTGCGAGAAACCGCAATGATGAGTCGGCGCGCAACAATAGTCCCAGCTGTCGTATGCGTCTCCTTCAGTCTCGCAGGTCCAAAATCCAACGATTTTATTCTTTTCGCATTTCGTGCCTCTCTTGCATGGATAACCGTTTACCGTGTAATAACGGAAGGTCGAGTATTCATCAGCTATGATTTAGAACAAATTAATTAGATTCAGTTTATGCGAGATTTTGCGAATAATTAAAAAGTCCGTAATTATTAAATCCACTCACGGGAGAAAGATCCGAAACCACCGGGACGAATTCCGTATCCGAATTTGTCGTCGCCGTGTCCGTAACCGCCAGAAAAATACGGTCTAGCAGGATCAGGTCTATCGGGATCGAACGGTCTCACGTCATAACCGCCCGGTTTCGTAAAGAAAGGTCTTGGCTCGAGATAAGTATTATCGGGTCTCGTAGTCGGGTATCGGCCGGAACTAAAATCGGGCCGTGAATAATCCGGAAGCAGTGGCTTCGACTGTCCGCCAAACACGTGATCGTCGTCGAGCGAATGACCAGTGACCATACAGTAAGGATCGAGGTCCTTCCATGCGTAAAGAACGTGATCGTCGTCGTGGGTATAGTCCATACCCGGTCGCAAGTCCCTTATAGGTACGTCACTGAGTAAACAATTCTCTTCTGTGCCATGCGTAGTAAGCCTGGAGACCAAACCAAATTAATAAGAATTATTAATGAGCATTAATAAGAATTAAAAATAATAAATATTATTTTGAGATTTTTATTATAAAAGAATAGAAATTTGTATTATGTATCTTATTAAATCACGATTAAAAATAAATTTCGATTTATAAGAAATTATATATTATAATGGTTGTTAGAAGTATGCACACACGTTGTTGCTGTATTAATTTGTTAAATTCAAAATAACATCAAAAAATTCCTCAGTGTATGCTTACTTGTAACTGTAGGACATGCAAGGAGTGGTATCGGTTTCTCTCATTTTCGAACATTTTTGTCGACAATCTTGTTCCGAATTCACATACGTTGCCAAGAGAATGGCATACGGTGTCAATTTGCACGGCTTGTTGTATCCAGCATAGCATACTGCGAAAAGATTTAGACAATTTATTTGACTGCAATTATGTTCAATTGTAAAATAATGACATAAAATATTTTGTGTAATGAATATGCATGCGTTATCGACATGTCTTACCGTCGTCTCCTTGCGAAGATTGCTTGCCATTGAGCCGTTCCATATTAAAAAACGGTATTGCGTAAGGCTCGCACCCTCTGCCAAAACTGCCTCTTTCGTATAATTCCGCACCGTCCATGTCCGGCATTTGGGCAGGGTTGATATCTTGCGACTGCCAATCGCTTAGGTAACAGTTAATTAGATCTGATCGTCCTTGTTCCTGTCCGTATCTGAAATATATCGCAATATATATAGATATATATAGATATATAATTTAACGTCCGTTTAATTTAGCCCACTTTGACATGAAAGATACTTACTTGAACGCGAAACTTCTACACATAAAATCTTGCATTGTCATGCATTCTGCCTGACACGCTCCTAGATTGTCGGCTAATAGCGATTTTCTAACGACGTCCGTGGGCATTCCAAATCCACTCCTGACTCTCCAAAAACACTCTAAAAAAAGATATTTAAAAAAAGCAAGTCCTCGTGATTCTCGCAAAATTTATAAAACCGGGAGAGGGAGAGAGAAAGAGAGAGAAAGAAACAAGCAATTTATTGTTGTCGATTTTAGTTGTTACCGGAAACACAAAGCGGAACGCATAATGTACGGTAACGCAATCGGGGCAGTAGTGCAACGCTCGGGATGATAAATTGCATTATTCGTTGAAAGACAATTTTATTTATTCCCTGAGTAAAGTTTAGAAAACGGAATAGTACATCAAAAATTATTTTGATTAAATTGCATTTGTATTAAAAGTAATTCACACAATAAAGTTATTTCAGTGAAATCGTATACCATCTGGAGGATGCGAGCTCGGTTCTTTTCTCGTGCATGTTCTTGAATTGGCGATCATGGCGTAAATATCGTAATCACGATCCGGCTCGAGGTCAATGTAAAAATTCAGATCTTTGTATGAAATGTCGCTGAGAAGACAATTGTCCGTAGGGTCCGTTGGTGCTACATTATATCTGTCCAATTGTAATATCTCAAATTAAATTAATATGTCATATTATTAATTCGATGTCAAATATTGTCACACTATTGAAAGCAATCGTTATCACAATTTTCCCATTATAAGTTATTAAAATATACCTGTAGCTAAAACTCATGCAGTCGTAGCTCTTCTCGCTGATGCACAGGCTCTCGCACTGATCCAGATTTGCCGTCAGATACGTCTTCCGAACGACTCCTCTGCTGAGCCTGAATCCCGCGCCAGCCCGAACGGAGCACTCCTCGCTTCTTCCGGTTCCGCCGTAAAGCGAATCCTGGCTGGCCGGTATGTAATTGTCACCGTATCCGAACGCGCCGCCGTAATTGTAAAACTCGCCGTAGAATTGATCGCTGTCGTAGGGACGCGATGGTTTAGGCTGCGATTTCGGATAATACTTCGGCACGTCAAACTTCCCCACGTAATTCGTGTCGTAGCCGTAAGAGCCGCCGTAAACGGTGCCGTAAGAACCCCAGTCGCGATCCTTTCGATAATCTGGCAAATACGAGCCGATTTCGTTCGTGCCTGCGACATGACGAATGTATTATGTGAACAATAAAGCGGAATCGAGCAAACGAGCGCGAAACAAACACTAATGAATAATTTATTTCAGCGAGTGCGAATGACGCGCCGCGTGTTCTCATCGTGGCCAATTGTTCATTCGTGTTCGTTCGCGTGTTTACATGGTCTGTATACAACTTTATGCGTTGTAAGAATTCTTTATTAAAAAAATCCTGTCAGATCAACGTTAAAATATTTAAAATATTACCTATGTCATGATCGATCCTTCTATTCGGATATCGCGCCCATGGGTTCCTGTTATTATAAAAATCGTCGTCGGTTGGTCGTCTGGACGGAAATTGGATACTATAGACAAATCGATCTTCCGATCTCGTTGCCGGATATCCACCCCGTATTGAATCGGGATAATCTCTTCGATCAAACGCGTCGTCATACAGTCCGCGATGAGGATATCCGTAGGCAATTGGTGGCCGCCGATCTTGGTCCGCAGGTCTGTGATCCAAAGGCCGTGGAATCTCGTTCAAAGGACGCCGATCGAAATCGATCGGTCGTGGAATTTCCTTCAAGGGCCGTCGATCGTAATCCAGTGGCCGTGGCACTTCGTTTAAGGGCGTCGATCCGGTGCGTAGGGTCTTGCGTTAAATTTGCGTCAAATAAATTAGAAGCGGAATTTATATCTGAATGATGAATAAAAGAAAAAAAAAGAAGCGCACACATTAAATTCACGCTTGAGCGATCGGTTAAATGAATACAATGCTGAACTGCTTCCGAGAAACGAGCGTCTTTCGTCTTTGTTGTGAATTACCTTCCTTTCGTAAAAATGAATTAATTGACAGAAATAATTCCGTTTCTCAAGGACTGTTCGTACTGATCGACTTCGATGTAATGTAGTACGTATTAATTTTGTATTATCGATAGGCAAATTTTTTAAATCACCGTACCTTGTATCTGGCCTTTTGGGATAATAAGGTTGACCGTAGGATTGACCAGGTCTGGACGGTTGGTTCCACCAGGATGGTCGCGCCTCAGGCGTGTTTATCACGCAATTCGGATCCTTCTCGTAATAATCGTATTGAGGATCCGACTCGAAGTCCCGATGGAAATCCATACGAGAATAAGGTACCGATGTCATCTCGCACATTCCCCTCGTTCCATGTCCAGTGCGTCTTTTTGCATGACAAAATCGCGATTGCTCAGTGATGAATAAATTCGTCATCAATTTGAATTATTTATTATTAACGGCTTTAGCGGTTTTTCTTTTAGAGTAATCGAATGATGGAAAACTGGCGGTAACTTTCCCGACGCGCGTGCATGATAGTTCTCCTCAACGGAGAAGCGTGTCACAGATTGTGATGATCAAATTGTCCGTGATGCAATCGCACGGTGGGTCATGCATATGTACATATTGCATTTTGCGTGTGCATCTGATAATAGGTACCCTAGATATATACGCATGTGTATATATATATATAGAAACGCGTAAAATCATTGAAAGACTCCAAGCGTGAATAATCGCGTTTAACTGTACGTGATCTTTTTGGCTATCTTGCGAAGGAATTTACTGAAATATGGATATTTAATTAAAAATCATAAAAATATATCTAGAACAAGGAAATTCTGTCTCATTCATCGAGGAAGTTGTCATCAAAATATAACTATGTTTACGTTCAATGTAACAGACTTTTTTTTTTTAAATGATTTAAAACAAGAGTTCATTATTATAATATGAATTCATAAATGATTTCAAATTGTGAATCTAACTTTCTAAATATGTTTTTAGATTTAAATATTTAGAGACACCTAATTACCTATAATTGAAGCCCTCGCAAGTGAAACGTTTCTCATAGTCGCAAGCGCGATGGCAGTCCTCGAGTTTTTCGCATTCCATGGCACGTCTGACGTGCAGATCCAAGCATTTCTTGCCGGACAGTAGTCTTCTGTAGCACGCTGTAGCAAGAAAGAAAAAGAAATTTCAACTCTGCACTTCATACAGACGTCATTTTTTTTCCGCGCGATCACTTACGCAAACACTCGTCCTCCACTATAACTATCGAGCTCGATGTAACACGTCGGGCAATTACGGCTAACACAAAAGTCCACAGCCATCGTCGACGTACCGGCATGATTCCCACGTTCGTTCGACGAATCAGTTTATCGGAGTGAGCGTATCATCCGAATCGGAGATCTCGAGAGAGGCGACGCGAACGTACGCGAAGACGATTCTTGCTTCAGCATTTCGAGTTCTCTTTCGAACCGCGATTTATTCTCGCGATACACCGCAAAGCGCAGCGAGACGTAACCATTTTCTCCCAAATAGTATTTTCACGTTCAAGTTCCACACCCCGCGACCCGCACACTCCGCGCACGTTCGCGCGAAAAATTTCGCGAACTGAAAATCACGCAAAAAGTAACGAAGAAATTACGGGCTCGCGTCGTTTTATAGAAAAGTGAACGTTTCCGCGAGAATAGTGGGAGGGAACTGCTCACACGTCGGGGGAGGGGTCTCAGCGTTACATGATCATTAATGATTCCACTTACTATTATTTTTCTTTGCTCACGGACACGCGATCGCTTCATTCTTTTGCCGAGCATCGTTGTTCGGTATTTTTTGTAATTACGTGGAATTGATTCACGAGTCGCTCGTCGTTTTAAGTAATTACAGGATGTAAACCTTTAATTGAGACGTAACTGTGCAAGCGTCTATACGCATCTTTATAGCGTTGTTTAGCTCATTTTATCGAGATTAGCCTTATTTCCTCGAATTTTAATCAATATTTAACGTACTGAAAGTCCAAAGAAGTTGTTATATTTCGCACTCAAATCATTTAATGATTCTTTCCTAACGATTTTTTTTTGACACGTATAGTTTCAACCGAGATATATAAGAGATTATTATATTCGCCGTAAGATCTCTCTACCCAGAAACCAACTGCCGGAACCATTTGCATTTTTCTGTCGTTAAGAACAACCTGCTGTTCCTTTTGTGCCAAGGAACAGCAAAGAGTGACATCATTTTAGAAGGGATATACCATCGTGTGTCCTTCGAGATATTCGTCAGGGTCACAATTAACTCAATTATTTCAGCCAGCCTAGCTCTTAATGTCGCACTATAACTTTAGTAAAGTTGTACTTCCGCGATTTGAGTTAGTCATCTAGGCTTTATTATTCGCACGGCCCTCATGCAACTGTTATAACTCGAATTTCGAGGTATATAACTCGAGAAGCAATTCGGTGATGAAATTTTGCAAATCGTGTCGCAACCGGCGTGTCCAATCGATTGCAACAATTCCTGATCAAAACGGACAGGCAAAATGCGATGGACAGGCTACGCGCAATTAATTCGTAGTAAGCAGGCAGGACTAAGGGATTAGCTGTCGAAAGTAAAAGCGTTTTATGCTCGTAGATCACGCGAACCGGAAGCCGAGCGTCCTGTAGTGTCTCGGCGTTTATATTTCTCCCTTGTGCAACTTGTCATGTACTGTGACGGCACAATCGCGAAAAGTCATCGAATTTCCTTTAACCGGTCGTTGCTCGGGTGACAACCTCACGAAAATTGTTTTGATTCCTAGATGCTATAGATACACATATTTCTTGTAAACATTATTTAACTGTGAATGCATATATTGTATTTTTATTTTTATTATTTACATTCGAGAAATATATCGAGAATTATTAAGCCAGGCTCAGTAACTTGTTAGGCAAAAAGATGCGCGTAAACTACTATCCGATAAGAGCGGCTAACACCGGAAGTCACGGGATACAACGAGCTAATTCGCGTATAGTTTAAATCCGTGTCAATGCCGTAGCCATTTGTCAATCAGCAATTCGCAGATGAACGTGGCTCGATAAACGCTGGCAACTAACCGGAGCCACCAAGTTGAGCCGGTTGATGGTGTAGGATAATGAATTAACAATATACAATACAATACTACGGTCAGATTTTCTAACGCGTCTCCGCCTTCTAATTTAAAAATATCGCAATAAGATATTTACATTATTAATTTATTAAAAATATGTATCTTTTTTTAGCATATTTATAAAATAACATAAAAATCACTAAAAAATTTATAGGTACGATAATTTGAATGTAATGTTGTTATATTTATAATTTAATGCGAAATTAATTTATTTAATCCTATATCCGAAGAGTGAATTAATTAATGTAACGGAATAATGTTGTTTTACGTAAGAGGGCGATAATCAGCTTGTGGAACGCACGGCGCGAGCATATATAATGCAATCGTGTGATTGCTGCATAAAAAAATTGAGGTTGCGCCTCACATATGCGACGTGGCTGCGGCAACAAGTGTCCGAAGATTTGTGTCTCCGGTCTTTCGTGTACGCCTCGTTAAAGACAGAGATTCGCGTTTCCGTTTCTCGAGGTGCTAGAATTGCACTGAAAGCTTACGCATTACGCGCGTAGATTGCGTGCAGCTATGTTGGCGGAGAAACAGGTGACTCTATAGTGGGCGAAATTGAAATGAAGTACTCACATCTCGACTTTTCGGTGATTCTCGTGCCGAAGCCGCGAAACATCGTCGACAGTTCTGGATTCCAGAGCTCGGAAGTATCCTTGAACCCTCCGTTTGAGATTCTTGCGTCATTGATTTCGAAGCCGTAAGAATTGCTGATAGCTGGACGGGACGAGATTTTGCGAAAATCATAATTTCCACCGACTAACTCGTTCTGGCTCGGTCTCGTGATAATTCCTGGACTTTTGTACACGCTATTGAAGAATTCTTGATGCCGATGCTGATGATCAAGATGATTCGTGATGTGATCTTTCGTTGTATCGCGATCGTTCCAAAATCCGAGATCCGTCGGAGATTTGTTTTGGGTGGCTTTATCATAGACGAAGATGGGTCTCGAGAAAACCTCGAAGGGACCGTTATGAACGGTGAGGGCCTTATACGAATGAAGATCGTTGTCTTCAAAGTTTGATCCAAAATTCAGATGATTGATACCGGTGAAAGGATTGTGGAAAGATTTGGATGGAAAATTTGGACGACTGTACTTCGGATCTGAATGTGTTCGTTGACCGAAGACCGGCCTCCAGTTTGAATGTATTGATGGATCATTGTTGTTATCGACTTTCGCGTTGTTAGTTCCAAAAGGATTGCTGGTCGGTGGCATCGGATTTCTATTTCTAACGATATCGATGATCCGGCGCTCATCATCGAAAGAAGGCATATATCCTCGTTGATACGAAGGGCCATTGACAGGCATCATATTCCCCACGGTTCTTTAAGCATAAAAAAATACAATAGTTTAATTTTTTAAATTGAATTATTAAATATTTTATATACAATGAATAAATAAAAAAATGTGGACATTAAAAATAATATTCGATCCATTTATTTTTAAAGAATCTCTTTCTGAAGTGTACATGCATATTTTAACAACCTATTACAAAACAACACGAAGATGAGATATTAAAACTCTATCGTATATCTATATTAATACGCCGTATCTTTCGTAGAGAATATAAACATTCCTTTAGTTTTGCCACAAATATATCTTTCTCACTGGAGGCTGAGATAAGAACAAACAATGGAGGTGCTAATGATGGGATTGTTCCATGTCTGAAATTAATAATCGGGTAGTATACCTTGGTGATGACAGGATATTTGGCGAGTCCAAAAAGCCGCTTCGGAACGTTGTAGTCGGCACCGTCTCATTTCTTCTTTCTTGTCCGATGTTACCGTTTCCCATCTTGTAAAGTCGATCTGGCTCGCAGTGTGGCGAACGTTGACTCCGTAAATAGACATCGTAATCAGCGTGACTTTGTAGGTCTTCAGGCTTCGGCATTTTCGCACTCAACGCACATGTTCCGTTACCCTTCATGCCAATCCTAAATCAATACACGTATTACAAAGACGCGATTTCAGAGAGTTAATACATACAATTGTATAAGGAACAAAAATATGATTATTCTGAGATCTTATTTTTCTGAGAGTTTTTATATTTACGTTTCTTGTATTTTTTTTTCTTATGATATTATTTTTTCTCATTATTGTGATTCGAATTTTTTGATGCATTTACGACATTACGACATTATGTACCCGAAAGCGAATGCGTTGCAGGAATTTCTCCTTTTCGAGCACTCGTCCTCGCATTCTGAAATGCTAGCGACCGCGACGTTGGAAAAGATATCCATGTCCGGCAATTTGGCTCCGATGGCTATTCTCGTGTAACAATCTGCATGATGTAATTATTACATTTAATTGTTGCATTCGATATTGTTTGATGACCAATCATTGTCACTTACCATTCGCGACGATTACAAGTTGATTGTCAATCGTGAGACCAATCGAGCGCGACCATTGACAGGATCGCAGGAAACAGATGAGAAAAATGAGAAATCCCTCCTGATGTCCCATCGTTAATAAATTCTTCACGTTTTAAGGATACCTTACTTCACTTTCACATCGTGCATGCGACTTTCTGTTTTCGCAGTTTTCATAGAAATGACTCTCATTATTCTATGTTATTATGACATGTTTCGCCTAATTTATTCTCGATAAAAACATAACAGAAAGTGTATTTACGTTTCAATTACAATCCCGACTTACTCTTCCAATCCTCATTAGTACACACGTGAACGCTTTAGTTAATGCTTTCTAGCCGTTATCTGGCGTTCTATTCTATCCGCGATCTATGAATCACGGTTCATTCGCACGAGACGTCCCTGAAAGAGTGTCCATTCGACGGAAGATACGCATACACGATGAGCGATCGCCGCGATTACGAAGGTAATTGTCAACGAGAACCTTGCCAACGACGTTTACAAGCCGTATTTCAAGAAATACGGTCGGCGTACACGTAACGCGAACGCGTGAAATAATTCTCGTCGTATGAAAACAATTTTTTCTGCCTTTCTACACAGAGACTGATTTATGGATCACTATGAGAGAGATTCCTGTTCACACACTGGATCACTGACTTGATCGAAATCCCGCGGCGAAGTGAAGACCGGTCCGCGCGAGCGGTCTATCCCTCTGGTCTTCTTCCGGCAATATTAACGAGCGTTCGTTCCTTTAATTAACGGACCGGGCGTAACTAGCGTGTCGTCGTCCTTGCCGCGGTTCATTATACTTTCGCGTACGGGCCCCTTAAGTCGTGCCTCTTGCGATTGGCTCACAACTGAGAGCATCGTGTAACTGTATCATTGTCTTATACAGCCAGAGCCGGCATTATGATCGTGCTCTTCTGCTTCCTCCGCCTGCGCCGCTTCTTCTGTTCCTCTTCATCTTCTCCTACTCGCTCCTTTGCGTGACGCTTGCACGCTCAAAGGAGCTCGTACTCGCTCCTTTGAAGATCCGCGCGCATGCGAATCTCTCTCTCCTCTTTTCCTTTACTCCGCGATTTCGCGTCTGCATTTAATTAACGCCCCGGCGGACGGAGTAGATCGCGATTCTCGTAAAATTGCAAAATCGAATTGTGTTCTCCTCGCGTGGCTCGCGTAAGTTGTCCACGACATCTTCTCGCGTGCGAATGTACTTTGGAAACTTTAGCCAAGATTCTTTATTACATTCGTATACATCAAGACTTATGATGCATCACTGCCAATGAGGAAATCGATAATTATGACTTTATATATGTTTATGATAAGTATTACTTTAATATATATTTAGTATATATCACATAAGTATATACTTTACATTTGACGTAAAAATATCCAATAAGTTAAATATAGAAGTTGTCAGTTGTAGAATTTTTAACATCGTTTTTAGTATGAAAATTATTTTGCAAAATCATAGTTTTTTTTATCATTTTTTTAAAATAATTTAATAATTTTATTTTAGCTGATCTTATTTTTGAGAAATTTTTTGCGGTCTATCCCATTTACCGGAAGGGCCTGAATACCTCGCTCGAAGAAGCGCGATTGTTAACAGGAAGAATGTGAAAATGCATCTGTTGCAACGGCATGGCGAGATGAAATTCTTCCTGTTTGGCAAACCTCAGAAGTCAAATTATCTCGCGCGCACGTGTCAAAGGTTCGGAGGGGGACAATTTTCTTGCGTCGCGGGCGTGTCGAGAAGGGCGTGTAAAACATTGCGCTATAGTTCCTTATGCGTAAAATGCGAGCTGCAGTTACAACGCGGCGCGATTGCGGTTAGGCAATCTCATACTTACCATTTTACGGTCTATTGTCCTTAAACGGTGATAAAACTCCATTATACTCGCGCGGTATGCTAATCGATCCTCCAGCTATTAGAAGACATCGCTTTGCTTTCGACTAATTGCGACTGCTTTTACTCGTGCGAAAGCTGCGCGTCATCGCGTCTTCGCGATTATTATATCTATCTCAAAGTTACACTACATTTCAGAAACGAACGGATGGTTAATTTAGTCTAACGGTATACTCTCGTATCTTTTCGGTTCTGAAGTCTGTATATATTTAGATCTAACGATTAGCCTTTACGTGTATAGTGCTTCGAGAAAAACTTCAAGTAATTGATCAAACGAATTTACTGTTTGGTATAGCTAGTACAGCTATTCGCAATAGTGTAATTTGACAATTATATTAATTTCAATTATTTTGTGCTGACCTTACAACCTCACAATTTCTAAAATTCCTCATACTTTTCATATCAGAGCTCGTATAATTATTGTCCTCTAAATCCTTCACGTTGTGAGCTTAAGGTCTCTCTCTTTCTCATATACACACATATACCAGGTATCACGGTGTTTGAATTACGCCAGTGAAAAAAACGTGAGTTTCGGGTTCCTTGACTCGCGCACGCGCGGACGACCCTGAGCACAGAGCCGCGTCTTGCCGCTGCGCGTAGATTTCGAAGACGCCGCCGCCGCCGCCGCGTCCTAATGGGCCTAGATGCATAGTAAACGGACGGTTACATAACGAAAATGGGATGAGTTACACGTAGACAAAGCTGGGACGTCACGCTCCGCGAGGCCCGGCCTGGAGTGAGAATGAGTCATTGTGTGATTATCACTCTCTGTCGTAGCGAGACGAGCAGATTTCCCGAGGAGGCGCAGCTTTTCGAACTTCGCACAAGCGTATCCCATCTCGACTATGTTAAAATTATTTTATATATTTAAATGTCTCAATTTAACTTTTATGTTTGATAAAATATAAAGTATATATATCAACACAGAGTGGAATTTTTGCGCAATAAAATCTGATACGGCATTTAAAAAAATCATATGATTTATCAGGATTTCAAAGGAAAATTATTTATAAATGCATTATTTTTTTATATCATAAATATGTATATTCTTTTGTTGGATATAAAACCTTTTTTTAGAAATGTGTTCGACGACGCGAATATGTGTATCACAATATAAACAAAAATTAAGTTAGGATTTTTCCTAAAAATATCGAAAATATTATGCATCGCCTGAAAGAAAAATGTTTAAACTTAAAGTTTAGCAGTCTTCGCGAAAACTATTAATAACATATAAATCTATGCTATGTCATTCATAAATAATTCACGCATCGACGTGGAATACTGTTGTTTTGTATAAAATTATCAAAATACAGTAATAGAGTAAAAGTAATGTTATTCATAAAATAATTAGCTGTAATTTATGAAGATTAGCTTTCTAATGGCAAGCTGCATGATCATTACGTGCACTAATCAATTTTTGCACAATATGTAAAATCACACATTTCTACTATCACATTATGAAGTAGAATTAGGATACATTGAAACTTATCAAATTAAAAGATTTTGAACACAGTTTGCAGTTGACAACGGAGCTTCAGAATGCTACATTTTCCAATTTGTCATCATAACTCTTAATCATTTTAATTTGAATTTACATACCGCTTTATTTGTCCCATATAAGATCTATAACAAATTTGATATACTTACAAAAAATATGGTTTTTTTCTACCTGTCTAGCTAACTTTTATTACACATTTATATGGAAAATTCGTCTCGTATATAAGTTTTATCGTCGACATCGTCGACTTAATTTTCGCGCTAAATCAATGCGAGCATTGTCATAAAAAGGATTTAACTAATCGACTTCTTGCCGATCAAACTAATACCAAGTTGCTTGGAAGAGCGGATGTTCGTTCGCTCTGCATATATGTTATATGCATATATATTTGCATCTTGAATACGGAAGCGCGTCGTATGAGAAAAATTTAGCGGCTCACTAACGAAACAATCCGCAAGGCGCGGCAAGCAACAATTGGTCGTAAACTCTTTGGTAATTGACGCAGATTCCTAAACAAGGCGCGATTTTCATCTAATTATTGCCGTCTTTTTTTTTAATTAACTAGAACTAGCAGCAGGTAAACGGCTTCTCGTGTATGCCGTGTGCAATACTAGTGTTCTGCGCGCTCTCCTCGACGGAGGGCGAGAGAAGCATATCATCGTTTTTAAGGAAGCTATTGGAGTCAGAAATCTTGAGGGTAGTGTTCACATCGTTACTGTCCGACGCTATTCTCCGTAGGCTCATAGCGATCGCCAGGAAAACGGTCTCCACCCCCTCGTTTTGCAGCACCGAAATCTCATGATATGTAGCACCAATTGTCGTGGCGTACTTCCGACCCTCCTCACCGTCAACCTGACGCTGTTGCACCAGATCGGACTTGTTGCCGATCAAGGTTAGCACCATCGTCTCCTCCACATTCTGTTGCAGCTCCTTCACCCAACCCTTGATTGCGGCGAAGGTGCTGTACTGCGTAAGATCGAACACCAGCATAGCCGCGTTGGAGTTCCTGTAGTACATCGGCGCCATGGAGCGAAATCTCTCCTGGCCAGCCGTGTCCCACACCTATATATAAGAGTGACGCTTTTAATTCTTTAAATCAATTTAATTATCTTTTAAAGTTGTTAGACTCAATACATGTTATTAGATAAAGCGTCATTTTTTTACGTCATCGAAGGCGCGATAGCGATTTCGAGACAATCGAAGCGAAAAGTGGATGAATCAACGGGTCAGAAGGTTAATTGAAAAGATAACGTAAGGAATGTATTGATTTCTCTGATGATGTCTATTTAATTCGTCGTCGAAGCAATATTCTAAATCTAGCGATATTTTAAATCTAAATTAAAATATTGCTGGGCATTAATATAAAAGCGTAGAAAAATATGATCTTTTTAAAGCCTACTTGCAATTTTATCCTCGCGTCATCCAAGTTGATCTTGCAATTGAAGAAAGATGCGCCTATCGTGGGACTTGCATGTTCGAAACTTCCCAAGTAACGCCCGATCAAGCTCGTTTTACCAACTCCTGAAAATGGTATCGAGATTCGTGTGCTGATAATACTTTTATAATACGATTATATAATGGTAGAGTGACACTTGATAACATTTATCGAACATTGTTCTATATACAAAAAAAAATCGATCGTCTCATCCGATAGCAAGTGTATTTTGGGCTATCGTTTTGAGTCTTCATTCGATATATTACAGATAAATGAATTTTCGCATAGTCAATTGCATCCACGTAATTATATTTAATTACTATTTATTTTCAAATAGATAATCATATTTCTTCAAATAAACGCTACATTTAATATACAATAATTCAATTGTCGAAACTACTACAAAATGTAAGAGTGAGAAAATTAGGTTAATTTCTTTTAAAATAATATAATTTATAATTTACAATTTCTACTTTAAACGATCTATTTAGTGTTAGATTTCAGTATTCTATTTAGAATTTTATACGCCATGCATTTTGATATATGTATGTATTTTAGTACATACTTCATGTACATATATTTCTGACTCGTTTTGTATTACACAACACACAAAATTACGAATAGAATTCCACTCCAAATTCTGACACACCTTTTAGATCGCTCGAGCGAGCTTCACGCGACTTTACGCATAGCAGCAATTAACTGACACGCAGTGTTAGGGCTCAGATATAATAAAAGGAAAAAAGAACAGTGAATTGAACATAAGGAATTAAGAAAATGTCAGAGGCAGACGTTCTACTCTGAACGAAAATCGTATTGTCTGCTTCTACTAATTTCCTGTTCCTTAATGTTCGACATTTGTTTCTGCGTGCGACGTAAAGCGCGTCCCGTATACACGCGGTCGTTCATTCTGTCATTTGTGAGGCGAGAATGGACAACGGCGCGAGGTATTCCGCATGCCATCGCATTAAATCCCCTCGAGACGCAATTTCTAAAAGACGATTTCTAAAAAAAAATGCGATTGTTTTCTATGATTATTTTCTACGAATGTGTATCCGCGTAACTAACTAAACTAAACTAATTTCTATTCGTAAGAGTTCCGAAATGATAATTATTCAAGTAGGATACTTCATACAATATATTCAGTAATTAAACGCGAATTAGGATTTGTAAATTACCTTTTCGCGAGTTTTACAGATGATAAGTATTATATTCCTTGACAATATCCTGTTTCGCATTTTACATATAATTATTTGTTTTCGAGTTCAGAGCGTAGAGTAGCACGCAACTCGCCGGATCAAGTAATTCGTGCAAAACCTGTGGCACATATCGACTGTTTAGTAACAGTTAATACGATACGTATACAAAAAGAATAGAAGATTCGGAACGCGTGAAATTGTTTGGCACACGGCGCCCGGTGCTCGCCGTGTACGTGTTGCAACATACGGCAAAATGTGCGTGTATGTATGCAAGGTCACGTTGAGATTCGCGTAGTTAGATTCGAACAGACAGGCTGCTATATTATCTTTCGAAACGTGATCACGACAAGTATCAGAAGACACAATCGATCTTTTTAAATAATTAACGACTGACCGCCTGTACGATTACTTAATCCTTACAAGTAACAATTTCGATTAATAAACAAATCAAAGCAACGATTAATTCGTCAAAATAGACGTTTCGCATGATCGATTCGATAGAGAACGAAGCAATAAGGAATATGAAAGATACATTATTACTATTCGATATTTATAATTCTAATATTACAGGCAATTAATTCTTTAATGAATTTAAATACTCCTAAATATATATATATATATATATATATATATATATATATGGATCTGTATATTTTTTAATAATCCATCGTGTTATAATTTAACTATATGCTAGACTTTATTAATCATATTATATTGTAAATATTGATATTAAGTTTCTAAAGTCATTTTTAAAGCATTAGTCATTAACAGAACAAAATCACCGATCGAATCGACATAATTAATTCGTTGCGCCAATTTGCGATTCGTTATCGAACGAATTGTAGCTTTGCGTGCGATCGTACTTCTTTCGTATTATTTTTTTCGTCGTAATTTAATAAAATGCGCGGCGAATTAATACCAGGAGTGCCTTGCAAAGTGCCGCGTAATCCTACTTAATTATATTTCTCCGAGTGAGTGTTATATGAGTGCGAGGAATGAGTTGTAACTGTAAAATGAGAGAGGAAGTAAAGGAAAACGCATCGGATGACGGCAACCATAGGATGAATATTTATATTATTACTTATTATATTAATCGGAAATATAACTACTTAAGTAGCTCCGTTTGAAAGAAAGACGAATAAAAATTTAATACAAACTTATTGCACGCGATAATTCAAAAGGAAATTTCGAAAGATAATTTCGAAATGTTAATTATTTTTTAGATGCTGTAACGTGGATATATTTAAATACACTTGTATTTTACAGATCAATATAGAGCTATGATGCAACTATAAATGCGCTGCTGCGCATTATATCAATGAGTCAAATTATCTTTTATTTTGATGAGGCAATGAATCTGCGAAAATTATAATAAGATGTATAATGTTACGAACTTAAATTGAGAGCATTACAATTAAATATTACAAAATATTATAGATAAATGAAAATCTTCATAGTAAAATAATATACAAATAATTATTAAATACAAAGTAAGGTATTTGCATGAGTCAAAATTTTTGTTCGTATTAACTCGTCACACAGTATCAACTACCTAATTGCTATACAGACTATCTGCACGACAGAAATTAAAAGACAGAATTAGCCGAGCGTAAAAATAAATATGCTGCGAACACTGATATGTAAGTGGCTGTGAAAATTAATGACAAATGACAGATCAGTACGCATGAACGCAATTACGGACTCGAATGCGTGAACTGTCGTGTACTGCCGATCAACTTTAAAACAGCTGTTACTTAAAAATTAATTAAGATCTCCGATATCTTTGTAGTAAGATTTTCGATCAATTTTAATCTTCGATCACTTTCTAACACGACTTTATCAGTACATTTCAAAAGTATACTATAATTCTGATCCACATATAATTTCCTATTTATTTAACATTTAAAATTTCTATTATATCTGATAAATAACAAGAAATGAAGATGTGTACAAATTCAGCTAAGTAATTCACCTGAATAGTTAGAGTTTGTAGTTATACCATACTTTTTGTCGAACGATGATGGCCAAATGTGATGTATTTACAAAATGATTACGGTAAAAAAGATACGCGTTATATATTTAGGCTGATCACGGAGATCTGTGTCATGCGCGGATTTTGACCTCCAAATTTGAAAATATATTATTAATACGAGTATAAATATTATTAAATTTCTTCTTGACTGGCCTGCGCCAAACAAAGATATTCAGGCTCGGAATTTAAAAAATCGCTCTTTACGATTACATCATAGAAAAAAAAATCCGGCAATAAAATCTTGATAGTAGAAAAACGGCTAAGAAACCGGGATGCATTTGTCAACATGTAGTTATTTATTTCCATATATCAAACGTGAAATTGTTTCTATAACAATCGTAGAGATAGCGATCGCAGAACTATTTAAACGTTTCGAGGAGAATCCAGAAAGCGGATCGAAATGTTTCCAATTTTTATCATTGTCTCTACGAGTACAGGAATAATTGCGTATAATGTATAACACATGTATATTGACGCAAATATTTACATACAAAAAAAATGATTTTCACCGTTAAGGATAATATTTAAAAAAATCTCATTTTTTCTTCAAATGTAAGTGAACTTTATCCCCATGCAACACGATTGGGTACGCGTTGCGATATATTTCTAGCCTCCCACGTAAGCAGCGAATACAGATCGTACGCGAATCTATGTTCGTGAATAAAATGTTCACCTAACCTCTCTGCGACACGACAAAAGATGCACCAGGAACAATGACGCGATGACCGTTTCCACGAGGTATGCGACGCGTCACGCGTCCTCGCCCGTCCGCGAGGACAGGAACGCTGCTTCGAAGCGTCAGGTGTCCTTTCGTTGACGTTACGTAACGATAATTAGGCAATTTTATCGCCTCGTTTACCGATGAACGCTTACCTTGCGAACCCAGCATCACTACTTTTCCCTCTATCGTCTTCATGGTTTTCGACGCACTACATAATCGAACTGGGGAGTCCGTTCCGCCGAGCCGAAATTCTCGCGTGCTGCACGATTAGGCGAACAAAAGTACGGCCGTATTTTGACGTTTCCAGCGAGCACCCAAGCTTAGTTATTGTTGTTCTGATCGGTAAGTTGGGCTCATCACTATCTCTATCTCTCTAAGGCCATTCTCTGTAGCCGTTGCCATCTCCCAACGGTATGCGATGGCTTCTGTCGGCGTCTCCTTCAGTTGATAAAGACAATTAGTTGAAGTAGAACAGCTGATAGCGGACTTATCTAATCCGGTTTGCCGCGCAAGGTCGCACGTAGCTAAATCGATTCGGCTTAAATAATCATTAGATTAAATAATTAGACAGGGTATCGCAAGCAACCGTCGTCACGAACAACCGTCATTCGATAAGTTATCTACGGAGTGGTAACTTTGTGATGTTATGCTAATCTCGCATGCGTGTTAAGTTTCGTGTATCCTTTTACAGATGGCCATCTCCTACTTATATTTATTTCAATTATTTCTCATTTTGATGATTCCCCCGCAATGATAAGTGACTTGCATTGTCATCTAAATTTAGTAAATCTGCGAGTTCAATACACTGCACACACAGATATTTACATACACACTTACATACAATATATATATTTATATTACGTACATTTTTTATGAATATGTATAATGCGGTAAAAAGAGGAAAAATATTAAAATAAGATGAAATGGGATAATTAAAGATTATTTTTTATTTACATCTCTTATTTAAAAAAAGTCGATAATTATTGCATTTATTGCGCTATTCTTCGATGCGGAATATATTTTTAGAGATTGGCCATCTCTATTCGTGCAGTTTATTCTCTACAAGTCGTAATATCGAGCATCTGTTTTTATACTGATGAAACTTGTCTCTCGCATTTAACACAACAGCATGACTTAATTAATATTAAATACAGTATACGTGCGGGTAATTAGTTAACGTTGAATTTATCTTGATATCAACGCGCGTAGCAGTGCGACCGTTATATATACACATTCGTGTGGAACTTCGTTATATTTTATCACGGGGAATTACCCTCATTTTCGATTTCATGCAGGGGATCGGCGTTTTACGGTGCGTCGCATCGCCGCCGCCGGCGCGCGCAGACGTTAGTTTAATTCATATTACTTCCCTCGTAAATCCGTCGGGACTCCGTGCGCGTCTACAGGACGACGGTGCATAACGTAAAATTCATATATGTACTCGCGTGTATATATATTCCGCGGTAAGCGTTCGCCGAAGGACCAGGGAGGTTGGGTGGAATCGTAGACCAGGAAACCACGAGAAGAGCCCCACGATTCCGAGCGCTCGTTTTCGATCCCACCCTGGGCGAGTGCTTTTTCCCTCCCTCCCTCCTTCCCACCCGTCCGTCCGTCCTCTCTCTTTGAGCCGGGGCTGTTCCGATTCCAGGCAGTTTTTGCTGAAACATCGTACCGTTGATCCGGCATTTTCCAGGCCGCTTGGTTTATCGCTCGGCTTGATCCCTCTGTTCGTACCGCGGTGTTACAAGCCCCTGCAATCGATGTTTTCGTCCCATCTTTCTTACTCCGGTTACGTTCTTACGGCCTCTTGTCTCTACTTTCCGCCCCTTTCCTCCACCGTGCCTCCGTTGCTCCTCCCTTTCGCGTTGCCTCCGTTATCGGAATTTACTTATATATATATTTCCTTTTATCCTTGCTCCTCTTTCTCTTTCCATCTCTATCTCCTCCTCTCTTTCTCTCTCTTTTTCCCAACCTCGGCAGATAACCGCTGCTGCCGCCGCCGTTTGTCTCTCGACTCTTATAGTTACATATACGCGGCGATGTAAAGCTCTGTACGATCCCCTGACCGCGCATTCAAGACCTCGATCTCGCTCGGGAAGGAATCGACTTGCGATATCGAGTGCAGTTACAATAGAGATACGTTACGTCGTGCCGGAGAGAATGGACTTTCGTTGAATTTATTTCTCGAGAAACGATTTAAGAAATGAGGTGTTTGTAATATCGATACGATATCTGCTATTTTGCTCTCGTCGAGATTTTCGCTCACAATATTCGATTTACTTTCGCCGCGTATTTTGACAACTCCTTCGCGAATGGCCGCTTTTGATCCCCGTTCCGACGATCTCGTTTGTCCATTAACTCGGTTCCCTTTAATGCATCGTAGCTGCGGCTCCTCCACGGTGTTTTGACACTCGCCGATGCGTAACGTCGACCACTATATAACATTGCCGCCCGGTCCATTTTGCAACGCGATTTATTTGCGTCACCCTTCCACCCTTCCGAGAATCGTCGCGACGCTCGCTGCCGATAGAATCATTGTCGTATTTCATAGAGTAGAGAGAGAGAGAGAGAGAGAGAGAGGAGAGGAGAGACAGAGGGGGAGGGGAAGTAGAATCCCCCGGAAGTGGACGAAGTGGTGCAATCCCAGAAAGATTGTGTGCGCCGCAGACAGGAAGCGCGCGGTCAGAGGATATAAATTGAATCGCGGGGTTTCGCATCCGACGCGTAAAAGCGAGTTCGCACGCCCTTTAAATCGTCAATGCGCCACTGTCTCCCCCGTTTTCCCTGCCCCCGTCGCTTTATTGCGGCGCTAGACAACCATTATGGAACGGAAGATGCCAATAATTTTCGTGGCGCGCCGCGATTACGTCGTTTGTCCAACCCAGCGACAGTTCGGTGTCCGTTAATTCGGTGTTCTTGACTTTCGGATGTGTCTGCTCTTTTGTTCGAATGGCTTCCCATCTCTAACGTTAATATACTAACGTGGAATGAAAAATGTTCTTCCGCTGCTGTTATCGAACGCTGTTATGTATTTGACATATTAAGGCACTGATATAAAAAAATAAGTTCACACATTACTTGATGTCAATATTGTTTTCGTAATAATTGTTAATGTAGTCTACTCCGCGGGACGAGATAAAAATGATAAGATAGAAGTATAATACAAATTGTAATGTTGCAAGAACGAAATTCATTGTTAATTAAAGCTATCGCAGATATGGTGTGCCGCAGGATTAGCCCAAAGTATTCTCGTACCGGTCGCGGTGACCTGTGGCTAGCCGTTGGCTTAGATACACGGGGCTTAGATTCGCCTTGGGTTTGCTTTAGGCCACCCTCACGAAGGCGATACGTCAACGTCATAATGGGGGTCATAAATCCAGCTCGCACGCGCCTAAACCTCGCTCGCTCGTGGAGGGGCCGCACACGGACCACGCATCGCAACCGTCCATAATCCGTCCGCGTGTTCATACCTCTGCCTTAGTTTGCACGCTGACTTCATTGGATATTCTAGACTTCATCCGTCATAGTTTTCGCTCGAAGCGCCGTGAGAAAGTGCCTATGGACAAATATAAATATAGAGATTTATATAGAGATGTAAATTCTTTTGGATTGTATATTGTATTTGGAAGAACAGTAACAAAATCCCGGATATATCTATAATATACAGCTGGTAGAAAATATATTATACAGTTTATAAAAAAAATTATTTTAATATTCTCTTGAAAGAAGGAAAATTTATAAAAAAACGCATACTCTTAAAATCACTTCTATCTTCCTCTTTTTAATCATGATTTATATCATTCTTGATATTAATTACGCTGTAAAGCAACGACATAGAGGGGCGCTATAATAATAGTATCACGTTAACATTATTTCACATAGCCGTTATCACAATTTCGCCTCGCAGGTGCTAGAATCTAGATTACTCGGGCTATATATGCAAGTAATTAACTAAAAGCAGTTTGTAGAAATAATTTCACCCTTATCGCGCGGGCAAGGCGAGTGAAATAAATCTACTCCATATTTTCTTTTATTCCGCGCTAACTCGAGCATGTTTCGTTCGCAAATCAGTGGCGGTAGTCACCGCGACCCAAGTGGCAGTGCCATTGATAGCGAAACGTAAGTGGTGGCAGTAACTTTGAAGTTATCGTGCGACGAACAGGGTCGTAACGAGCATACCAAGCCCAGAACGCAGGTTACCGGTCGAAGGTTGACATTCTGCCACGGTGTTATGGCCAATAAGGGTTGTTTACCCTGACGTTGTAACGCGCACGCGATCATACAACGACAGTGTCAGGGGACGACAGTGTCACTGTAAAGTTGTCAATCCGTGTATCTGCTGTCAGCTATGGCTACTAAGTAAAATTATTGATGTCCCGTTTATCACCTAATAACAATGTCAAACGTGAACGAGAAATGGCAGAAGAATTTTTATGAGAATATTTATTTGAAATAAGTTGAAAATCTAGATTAAAGATAATGTAGTGAGCAAGATACGCACTAGTCGTTGACAGATGCATAAAACGTTTTTTTTTTGTCTTTTGAGACGATCTGTCGTGAGTAATAGATGTTATGATTTCCCCAGAGTTTCTCTCTCTCTTCCTTTCTCTTTCTCACACATACATACGCATACGCATACCAAAGTTACTACATTTTTATATGCATGTGACCACCTATCTTTCGGTTGTATAATATCGTAATTGAAAATATTGCGTTTGAAATTGTAGTATTATCACAACACAATTGGCGTTAATAGAATAATTACGTAATAAATATTTCAATGTTACAATGCATCTACCGATGGTCGGCAGAATTTGGAAATATTTATGTTCTCGTTGGAGCAGGTCATTGGATTACGTGCTACACTCGATTCGCTTGTATCGGTTTTGCTGCGGCAAGTAGGTTAATGGCGAAACCATTTCGAGACCTTTAACGTCGGTATCGCGAAGCGATAGTTTCAATTCAATTTGGGAGAGTCAATTATGTGAGAACGGCGGATGCGCTTTTAGATTATTCGCGATACAGCATTCGCAGTAAAGCGAATTATTGTGAAAATATTCATTCATTCGCTTTGGAATTACACGTATAATAACACGTATATAACACGTATAAAAATAACAATGAGTGGGAAAATTGGTTTTATTTTAATAGCTACTGCTAATGTATAATGGAGTAATGAAAATGGGAAATATATAGGTATACAAACCCGGCCTGCAAAATGCGGGGTGATGAAATAATATGAAGCAATAACGTAATTGGTATCTGAAAATGCACGAAAGCGGAACGCGACGCGAAACGTCGAGCAGCGGGAGATGATAGAAAAGTGTTGGAAAGGCCGGATAATTTATCAGAGTAGAAATTTAATTTTCTTGAAAGCAAAGAGCTATGCGGGGCGACCGATGAAGAAA